TCGTCATTTTAAATTCATTAACTTTTTCTTTAAAATTCTTCTTTATAGTGATATATTGTTAAAAAATTTTTTTTTTTTGGGGGGGGGGGATATTTTTTTACTGGCTTAAAATGATATTTATGAGGTCAGACTAATTTGTGCCCCCCCCCCCCCCGGATACTTCCCTGCCGGTATATCACTCATGGTATACCTAAAACGAATTATTTGTTATTCGATTCGATTTGATTCGTATTTTAAGAATACGAAATTCGATTCGAATAAGAAAAATATATTATTCGTCGAATAATTTTTTATCTATTATTCGAGATTATTCGATTAAAATAATTTATATTAATAAATATCGAAAAATAATCATATATTATTAGTAGGAATTATTTGCAATTATTCCTATTTAATAAAATTTTCTAGTGGAATAATGAAGAAACATTTTATATTTCTAAATGTTGTTAACGGCTGTTTTTATTCGAATAATTCATAATACAAAATTAACTTCCGAAAATTGCTTTATGATGAACGAAGAAAGTATTTATTCTTATATGTAATTTATAACACATATACGATTATAAATAACTAGTAGCTATCCCGTCAAGAATGATGGGCGAACCAGATATTTCTCCTTTGTTTGGATAGAGAAATCATAAATTAGACTTTTTGCAAAAACTTTTTGTTTAAAAAATTTGTTGTTGGTATATTTGTCTTCCATATGATATGAATATTATATTGATTTTTCTACATTATATATAAATATACTCAGGGTTGGGCAAATTTTCAGAAAATTGTAGTTACTAGATACTTTAGAAAAATTTCAATAAGATATAAGATACTTGTATTTTTTTAAAAAAAGTATCTAAGATATTTAAAAAACTTTAAATAGTCAAAATCAAAATGTATAAAGCTTTATTTTCTTATCTATAATATAAATTTATAAAAAAATATTTAAAATAAATTGTAGAAAATAACAAATTGATTATAAAAGATAATGCGATATTCCATTTAATAATTATATAATTAGTAAATAATAATAAATCAGCATTATTTTTTAATATTATTAATTTTTCAAATGATTTATCGTTCAATCTTTGACGATTTAGTCTATTAACCATATTAGCAAAGCTAAATAATCTTTCAACGGGGGCTGAGGAGGGTAATATTGTGTTATATTTAATAAATATCTTTTATATATTTATAACTATTTAACATATTTATACTCCGCCTGTCATCTTTCATATAATTTAGGACCTCTATTTCACTATCATTTATTGAATTATTAGAATTGGATGTGGTACTTTTAAGGCAAAAGTAATCATCATCTTCATCAATTGAAGATTTTTTTGAAGTATTAATTTCAATTTTATTTTTAAAAATAATTAAAACTTCATGTAATAACAAATCCTGAAGGTATTTTTTTTCCTTTTCACCATCAATCCAACGATTTTTAAAATAAGGATGAGAAATAGTTGCCAAAAATGCACTTTTAAAATTGTTATCAAAATCATATATATTTATTTTCTATGGCAACAGCTATTGGTTTGCAAAATTGTAGATTGATTTGAATTAAATTTATAATTTTTTTAACGACATTTAAAATTGGAGCAGATTCTCCATAATAGCAGTTGATTTCACTCTGTATTTTGTCAATCGTGGGGCCATTATATTGCAATATTCTTCTAAATATTGAATTTCAATATCTCTTAATTTAGGAAATTCTAATTTTTGACATAATTTAGGAAGTACGCCTTTAAATTTTGTTAAACTATGAAGACTATCATACAAACTATTCCATCTAGTGCAACAAGGTGTAACTAATTGTTTTCCTAAAACTGCTTTGATAAGTTCTGCAGTTTAAGGCCTATTATTTGCATTCCATAACTTAGTACATTTAGCATTGCAGGATGATGAATTTTAGAAATGTTAGGAGAATCCTTAATAGCTCTCTCAACATCTGTTGTGGCAATGTTATTGAGGCTTCTTTAGACCCTTAAATAAACAAATAAATAATTTTATTGAATAAAATTTTTTACTAAATTTTATAAATAATACTTTCAATGATTTCGAATTCTATACATTCATCATCATTGATGTCAAAGTCATTCTCTACAGCTTTCATAGAATATCCAAACTCCTTGAAAGCTTTCTTAAAGTTAGAGCCGTTATCTGTAACAGTTGCTATAACTTTTTCATGATCATCTTGCAGTACTTCAAAAAATTTGCCATTAAGTATGCTTAGTTTAAATTTATTGTTATAATTTTCGGTTGAAGATTCATCTGAAGACGAAGATAAACATATTATTCTATTTTCTTCCATAATTTTAAAATAGAAAGATATAAAACGAATCAAATATGGTAGTTCTAATTGCTAACAAATTGCTATATGACGACCAACGTCATATATCAAAAATTATCTTAAAATATCTAAATTTTGATTAAATTTTTCATTTAAATCTTAAAACAATATCATTTTAAATTTTAATACTATTTAAATTAACCAATATAAATTTTTTTTAAAGTATCTGTATCTTTTTGAATACAAAGTTGGTTAAGATACAAATACTTTTAAATAATATGTATCTTAGATACTGGATATAAAATACTTTCCAAAATTTTAAAAAAGATGATACAAATATCCGCGATACTGCCCAACCCTGTAATATACTATATATGTATCTATATTATCTTACTAATAAAATTTGTTTGTCTTTTATCCATAGTTAAATTTTACAAAATAAATTTAAATGCTATCTTTTTTAATTTACGGTTAAATAAAATTTTCGAATTGAATCGAATAATCATTTTATTATTCTATGAATAATGAATTAATCGAATACGAATACGAATAATTCCATAATTCGATTCGGAATTTCGAATCGAAAATCAGAATAATACAATTAATCGATTCGATTCGTATTTTTGTAGGTCTCTCATATATTAATGGTTGGCAGAAGATTACATTTATTTTTTTAAGATATATATCTTTTTGAATTATATAAAAAAAATTTTTTTATCACTTAATCAGAAGATTGTGCAAAATGGACCCATGTTTAAACCAGAGTTGTGGAGAATGGGTTCAAAAATTATTCATCCTCATCTTTCATAGGGTATAGTTTTTTCAAGGTAAAAAAATTTGGGGGATTCACAACAATCAAAGCCAATAAAAATATTCGTTATAAAAATGAAAGCTTAGAATATATTTATTGAAATCCTCAAATTAATTTTGTTGTTTAAAATATAAGGTAATGTAATCGTACATCCAGGGTTGGCAAGTCGGTCAATTGACCAGTCAAATTTAGTCAATTGACCGGAGGAGTATTTGTGTCAAATACGATCAAATACTCTAAAAAATTTAAAGGAAAAAAGAATTAAAAATATGTTTAAAAAAGGGAAAAACGATGTAAATACATGTGATCACAATGTTTGCTTATTTTTGAGGAGAACTCACTAGCAGTGAAATTAATGAAGTATGTGATATAATTCAAGAATTAGCTATTTTACAAGGTAGTGATGACCAAAATATTTTAAGTGATATAATTAATTTCAGAAGCAAAAACAGCATGTTTAATATAGCAAATTATGTGGAAAGTAGTAATTTCCAGAAACAATCAATTCCGACCTCAAGTTAATAGATTAAACTTTGTCTACCCTGCCCAGAGACTAACAATCCTAGTTCTACTTCTTCTTTAGAAAGAAATAGGTCGATTTGGGTTAATATTCTTATGAAAATAGAAATCGATTGAAGATCTAAGACATCAGGAAAATTGATTAAAAAATCAGAACAAGACTCTGCTACAGATAGCTACACGTTAGTTATTGAATGAAAATGAATTTAAAAAATTAATATCATAGATTCATTTTACTATTATATTCAAAATAAAATTAATATTAACTTAAAAAAACATATATTTGAATTTGACCACTTGACCAGTCAAATATCGGTCAATTGACCGAAACGTATTTGACCGGTCAAGTGCACAACCCTGCGTACATCTCATAATTTTAATTTAACAATCATATATTTATAATAAAAAAAATTTTCATTATATAATATGTAGCTATTTTAGTCACATAATAACATACTTTTGCAAACATATATTTTATAATGCTTTTTTTAAAAAACGAGGATGATTTTTTTTGCAAATTAAAAATTTTTTGTTATTTTATTTTTATAAATGTTAAGTTGTTCAGATTTGATTTTTAAATTTATAGGAATCAAGGCAACAAGGAAGTCCATTGTTGTTCACCCTTTCTGTCATCTATGAGCAAAATAATCAAGCATGTGTAATAAAAATCAAGCTATTTAAAAACACTACTCTGGATTACAATAATGGAGAATGGGAATCAGGGGGGGGGAGGGGCTGGCTTACCTGGGTAAACCAAGAAAGCCGCCATTAAATGGAAAAATCATTATTTGATTTAAGATAATTTTCATATTTTTTTTGTTGTAAGTTATAATGCCATGAGCCACTGTCAAAATTCTTTGTACCAACCATCTATGAGCAAAATCTTAGGCTTGCCAAATATTTTTCTGGATAAAAGTCACTTTTAAACCCTGGCTTAAATGGAACAATTTTGGAATACTAACTGTATGCATTAAAAATTAAAACAATTAGTATGTTTACAGAATACAAAATCAAATTTGATATCGTGTATGATCGATAATTTGCCAATTTCAATTTAATAACAGATTGGCCTCCAAAAGTGGTATCAGTACACCCCTAGACATAATGGGAAAACCATTTCTTAACTATAAATGGAAGATTATGTGCTCATTATAATAAATTTTTGTAATAAAATCATCCAGGTGATTTAATAAAATTGTCTCTTTTCTGATTTTATCATATACATTTATAAAAAATCTCAAAAGGTAAATTAGGACACTAACTAAAAAACTTTAATCATGGCATTGCAAAAGCTTTGTTTTTTGAAAAAATAAATTGTGATATTGCAAAAGGGCAATATATGTTTGAAAATACATTACGTGAGTAGCTATATTTTAAAAATATTACCAATAAATCCACATATAAATTCACAGTTCCCATATCTAAAGAGTTAATTGCATAATGATGTAATGTTTTATTCAGGGAAGTATATGCTGCTTCAGAATCATTTAGTGAGTAATATAATCTGGAAATTTTTTCTGATATTGATACAAGAGTTGTTTTCACATAATCACTTGCGTAATCAAAATCATTTAAGAAAAATAAAATCCTCTGATAGTCTATAATACCATTATTAAATTTTGAATTTATAAATCTTTTAATAAACCTAATATAGCTTTTTTAATCTCTCCTAATTCCTCATACATTGATGCACATTCAATAGAATACTTTACTAATAAGGTTAAATTGAATTCTTCTTCAGGTTTTTTGGTATTTCTTTTCAGTGTGTAAATAGCTTTTTTATAAAACTTTATTGCTTCATTATAGTTTTCAGAGGTTTTGCAATATTTGGCCAATTTGACCCATCTATTTGGATCCATATTTGAGTCCAAATGGGCAGATATGACAGAGTATTGATAAGATTTTAAAGAATCACCAATTTCTTCATAAATTAAACTAAGTAAACTATATGGTTCACAAGCAGATGGTGCTAATCTGTTAAATATATTAATTAACATCATATTTTGTTATTACTTTATTATTTCATTGCATATTTCTTTGGCTTGTAATTTCTGACCACTAGCCCATTGCATATTTGCAGTTCCCATTAACCCTTGTAAATGTTTGGGAAGTCTTGTTTTAGTAGATATTGCTAATTTTCCAGAATATGATTTTTCTAAAATATTAGTTCCTAGCTGTGAACTAATCCTCCTTGTTTTACTCTTACGATATGGAATATACTCTTCAGAACCTGAAGAATTTTCGCTTTTTTCATCTAATTTCCAATCTTCCTCATTAACAGAATCATGATCAACATTTTTTTTTCTGATATTAGGTGTTTCTTATGAAAATATTAGTATATGTATTAAAATATTTACCTTCTATTCCTTTTTCTAAATAATCTTGATATTCCTGAAAAGATATAATACCGTTTATAAAGTTTGATGATATTTCGTTTAAAAGATTATCGTCGTCAATTATTTGTATATTATCAAGCATATCTTTCTTTTATAAAAAAAAATACATTAAAGATTAATTTATTTAAACCATATTATTTTCATCAAGTAGAAAATCGCCAGTTATAATGCTTTCTAGCAAGCCTGCTGCTTCGCTAGAACTCATGGCTTTGAATCTATAAAAAGGATGAGGATGTCACCTGTACAATCTTTTTTAGACATGACAGCCTTAAAATACCTAACCTAGATGGCTATAATTTATAATCTTAGTTATATCGTTATTATGGAACTTTTTTATTTTAATAAAATAAATTACTAAAATTTTCAAACTGTCTTTTTTTTTTTACCCTACTCCAAATCTGTTTTTAACATTTATCCTTAACCCAAATCAACAATAACCAATTGCATTAAAAATAGATTAAAAGTAATAAAAAAATAAAAATTAAATAGTTTTAGACTTATCCTTAATTAACTAATTGAGATATATCATCCCCTTCTAATGACTCTCTTTAGACAGGATGGGGTGCTATTCTGATATATCTAACCAGGTTCTTGTAACGGGTGATGTAGATATGCCGTAGGGCCAAATATGTTTTAATTTTATGCATTTAATCAATAGCGTCACAAGCTTTTATAATTTTAGGGGGCTCAACTTACTACTTTTTTTAGGAAATATTCCCAAATAACCTTATCTTTTTATGAAATACTTTCAAAATTACATTTAAATATATATTTCCTAAAATAATTTAAATTTTAGTGGGTTTTTTAAATTTATTAAGCCCCCCTAGCGACCCCCCCCCCCCCTCCCCGTATTTAATATTAAATTTTAAAAATTATGGATACTACATTTCCCACCGAAGCCGAACACTCACATATAGAAGATAACGAATTCAGAATCATATGATGATGTTCTAGAGAATTATATGTGGGATAATTATGATGGACGTGTTTAATATTATGCGGAGGATTCTTTATATGTTGTGTTAGATATATTGATTTTAAGTTTTTTTCTTTTTATTTCAAAGATATATAACGGCAATAACAAAAAAACATTTTGTTTCTTAACTTAAATAAAGTTTAAATTATCGTTTTATTTTATCCTTACAATTTACATATTTTATTATTTTATCACTCAAATTAAATTTAATCTTAAACAAAGAACATTTTATTATCGTTTTTCGAAACTTAATGATTGATTATTATTTACTTTATCGATTAGTAAAATAGAAATATATATAGCAAACATTTTTCTAAGAGGCGCATTATTTTTTTGATATTGATATTTTTTTGATGTATTTTATTGATGAATGACTTTGATATAGTGATATAGTTCTTGTGTACTTTTAATATGCTGATTGATAAAATTATAGGAAAACTCCCATATTTTTATTAGTAGACTCTCATTTTTAGCATATTGAGTTATATTTACAAAACTGGTGAGGATTAAATAATTGGAGATGATTGGAAAACTGTATTTGAGAAATTGATGCCTCTTATTGCCAATGGAATATGCTTGAAACAATTGATTATTGGAAAAAATATGAATGTTGAATGGTATAATAATAATTGAGATTATGGTAATTTTAATGATATTTGGTCTGTTGAAAATAAATTTATTATGTAATGAAATATCATCTAACTAAGTGTAAAATTTGCACATATATAGAGATTCGATATATGGAATATGGTAATTAATCTATGGTGATAAAAGAATATTATGAAAATCGATGCTTTTATAAATGGATAATTTGGACGTCGTAATTTTTGAAGGGATCAAAAATATCTGGGGTAAGTTCAACTGGAGTTAAATCCCCCCCCCCCCCCATTAATTTGCGAGTCTAGGTCTGGGGGGCCAGAATATTTTTATCAAAACATGAGTATCAAATAAAAGCCAATTAAAATAACTTTTGACTGAAAGTATTCATACTTAGTCTTAATGGGTTGGATTTGGTTTTGGGAGTTGTGACGTGAGGTGTCAACCGACATGCATAATTAACAAATAAAAAATTTCTAAATTAATTTATATTTTAAATGTTTTACTTAATCGTAAGTAAAACATATCATTTATAATAAAATATTATTACCTACACTACAAAACATAAGGGAGTCAAGGAATTTGTTAGGAGGGAGGACATTATTAGTTGGGTTTCCCCCATAAATTTTATTGGTGATCTTTAGGTCCACGTATTGGTAGGCCTTCGGCTATTAGATTTTTATAAAAATATATCTTAGGGTTTCACTTCTTTTATAAAAATGTTCTTTCTAAAAATTGTGAGTTATAATATATATTTAAAAAGTTATTTACTTTTACTAATTTATCTTTTAAATTAGTAATATATTGTTTACAGTTTTTGGAGTGAGGGCTGTGTTGGGGGAAATTTTATAGCCTTAAAATGATATTTACGAGAGCAGGCAAATTATGAGGGAGGGGGCATGGTTACCCACCTGATACAAAATTTCCAACATTGTAAAATTAACATAAAACAAGATAAGCAACGTATTCCCACTATATAGCTTATTATAAAATTATCATTTATAATATAATATTATTACATACACAGAAAAAAATATATTTATTTATTTTCCATGAATTTAAAGGAAAAATTTTTAATATTTTTTTTTGACACCTAGAACCCTTGAACCCTTCACTTTTAAAAGTACGGGTACAGCCAAAATATCAGTATTCAGGAGTGTTCAGGGTCCAGGTTTCCCCCTGATAAAAAACATTATTCCTAGAAAGTTACAAAAAAAAGGATTTTAAAAAAGTAAATAAATATAAAAAAGTAAATAAATATAAAAATTAAAAGGTGGGCCATCATTCAAGGATGGAGGGGATGCTTAGAAGTCAGATTAACAGGCCTCTAAAGTGACCCTCTGACATGGATAAACTTTCACATTTGATTTCAGGTGTTTAGAGTTTTTTTTACAGAAGCTTTTAATGAAAATTTCTAAGGTTTTGGTGACTATGGGCATAAAAATTACATTTAGAAAGGTCAGAGTGATTTTTTAATCTTTGGTGTGGGCCGGTGCTTGTTTAATTTTAGCCGATTTTTAAAAACAGTTAACTCAATATTTTATTCAGAATAATATAACCTAAGCCTCGAGATTTTATTAAAAGATGTCCAAACCTTTCCATCTATTAGCTAAATCTTCAGGCTTGTGTATATTTTTCTGGATAAAATATTGACTGAGGACAAAATGTGGATTGTTTGATCTAGATGAGAACAATATAAATATCGTCCTAGGCTAGGGGAAGGCCGTTAGACCAAGATATTGATAAAATAATACCATCTGTTCTTTTTAATGACTGATTCAAGGCTGAGCTGTGTTAGCCATTTTTGGTAGCTTGTAATATGATGTTGAAATTTTGTGACGGGATTGAATATAGATATATTTTATTTTACACGTGAGCGTCTACCTTTATAGATGTTGATTACCACAAATAGCATATCTCTGAAATAAAAACAATTAGGAAAATCTTATCCCTTTTTTTATATAGAAATTATTTTGAAATTAAAATTAGTCTTTCTTATTATGATTGTATTTTATGCACGATTATGTACTTCATTAAATGTAAATATATTTTTTCACTATCTGTTTTTTTATTTGAAAAGTCGAATTATTCGTTATTCGTATTACGAATAAATATTATTCGATTCGTATGAATACGAGCACTACAATTATTTGATTCGAGCTTTATGAATACGAATATTTAATTATTCGATTCTATTTGATTTTTTTGGAGGTCTTATAAGGATTTAGACAATATTTTTATTTAATGAAGATTTGCTCTAATTTTTTTTAAATTATCTCTTAAATAAAGGCAGGAAAGTATAAATAGATTTTTATTTCATAGTCAAAGAAAAAAAATATTATGAAAGTTAGAGAACGATAATTTAGTGTATAATTCATCCAATAATATTTATTATTATGACAGAGATGTAGGGGGTGAGGGGGGGCGTATATATTAAATAGAATTAAATAAATAGAGAGAAAATAAACAAAACTTTTCTAACAGCCTGATATGATTCATGTGGTTAACGAGATAAATTTAAACTAACTCGGAACTGTTTGGCATTTTTCTATAACAAACAAAATTCATAAAATTAGAGAGGCGATAGCACAAATAAAGATATAATAAGTATAAAATATCGCCAACCTGATTATCGAATCTATAGTTCAACAGAAATCGCAGATGGTTATAGAGCAATAAGAAAAGTTGAAAGTGATTCAAGTTAATAATTTCATCGCAGTATATTATAAGTTTTATAATCACACCAATATCCATTTTACATGAGAACAAAATAAAAAAATGGCGTGTTATCTGATTAATACTAAAGAGTTTTTAAAATATTATAATACTTTATGGAAGTTTTTAAAAAATATAAATAGGGACAGATGGGCCGGGGATAATTGGCACACAGGAAATTGGATTTTTGTAAAGTTTACGTTTAAAATTCAGCTACATTTTAGATAATGAGGATATGAGTGTTTGAAAAGATAATTAAATCTCTAATTATAATCTTATGTATAATAATATATATGTGGAAACAAATTGTGCAAAATAATTATGCAGGCCAGGCTAAAAGTTCTGAAAGCTTTTTTTAAAGCTGAAAATTGGAAAACAAATTTATGTTTTTTCTCCTTCATAAAATTATTCCGAATAGATAACTTTTTCAAAAACTTCTATTGGCCAGTTGGGGCTCTTGTTACGACTTCTAATCTATTTTTTTGGCAAATTTCTGTTCACAACATGATGCTAATCAAAGTATCAATTTTTTTTGTAAACGATGATAAAATTACAATACTATTTAATATTTTTATAACACATAAAATATCAATAACGTTTGACGCTATACATCATCTCTATTGATGTGGCCCACTTTTATTTTGCAACTACCAAAATGTAAAGTTTAAAAAAATATCTAAAATTATTTTTAAAAGAGTTAACAGGATGCGGGTTATTATATTAGACGAATCCTATTTCAAAATACGTTTCAATATTTCCCAGCCTCCCCAAGACTTGAACCACACTCAATTTCAACTAATAATAGCATTAGAACCAGGAATTAAAATTTTCAAGAATCTATTTTTGAACAACCGGATTATTTTAGATTAGGGTGGGTTAGGATCCATCTTGGAAAATCAATTATTATTAAGTCTGTGTTAAAAAAATTCTCACAAAAACGACTTCAAAATTAGAAAAGACCCAAATCTAGTTCATAACCTTTGTTGGAACCACATAATCGACCATAGTATAAACGTTCACACTAATTCCTTTGAATATAAGCATCGGGGATCCATTAATATTTTATATATAATCATAAAAGTATACTTTTTTATGATGATAAAAATCTAAAAAATATTTTGAAAAAAGATTATATAAGAGCATTATCTTTTTATCAGGCATTAACTTCAAAAAAATATAATATTTTATATTTTAAAATTCTTTTTCCCCGCATATTTTGTTTAAAAAATTTTAAATCACATTTTTTTTGTCGTAAAAATATTCTTTTGATATAAAATATATAATTTATATTTTATTAGTTAATTGGGAGTAATTTTTTTTTGTGACAATATAATTTGTGTGTTAATTTATCGATTTAAAACAATGCATTAAATTTCTATTTTTTTAAGTATATTAGTTTATAAAAAAAAAGAAAATTACATTTAATAGTAAAGTATCTTTTGAGTAATATCTTACAAATTCCCCAATTATAATTTTATAATGATTTATCTTCTATTTTTTAATTTATATTTAAATTTTGAGATAAAAGTAATAATTATTATTTTCCCAATCATTAATAATTATAATAAGAATAAAATAGGCTAAAATGAAAAACTATGTTTTTCTTCTTCCTTCGCAAATAAATTACTTACCTTTGCCGAGTTTTATTGCTGAGCCCTATGGAGCGCAAGGGAGTGCTTCTGAGAGTCGTTTATACACAAATAATTCGAGTAAACATGATAATTGTCAAACTAGTCTAAATAATAGTAAAGAAAATATTTATCATGATGCCACTTTAAATTTGGCATCAAATAGTTGTGATCATCAAGGAAATCGACAATACCAACGTGAGGGAAATCTATATAATACAAATAGTTCTGTCATAGAGAACGGATCGTTTATTATCGAAAAAGTAAATGATGACAAATGCGAATCAGCAAATAACTGTGCTATCAAAAATAAATTGGTCAAAAGCGGCATGGAGAGCTTATTACATGTTTTATTTAGCGAAAAAGATAGATCAAATATTTTATTACCATCCCAGCAACATTCAATTCCTACAATGACTCATGGCAAACTAGATTACGATAAGGCAAGGGAGAGTAAACAGGAAGTACCGTTCAACAACCTCGATATTACGAATGGGGGAAAAATATATTCAATTTTTTCTCCTTCCCAACCAAAAGATAATAATAAAGATCGTTCGCGATCCCTGACATCGAACAAAATAACGCTGAATAAATCGAATAATATTAGCTTAAAAAATATTCATGATGATAATAATTTATCACATATTAAATCTAGAATCAGTTTAAGTAATATATCGCAGAGAGTTCAAAATATGCTGCTTAATAATTCTAAATATGATAAAATAATCAACAGAAACTACAACCCTCCGATTAAAAAATTTCATATTTCAACTAGCTGTGAATTTAAGGGGTCTAACCTTTTACCCACTTTGCAAGTCGTCAAAAAAGATGGTTGGTACGGGTTGAACGATTCTGTCCTAACGATATATCAACAGCTGGAGAGAGATGGTTCTTGTGATAAAGTTAAAGTCGAAATTATACCGATAGATCTTGTTCCCCAGTTTTTAATCAACAATATTTCGAAATCTGATTACGTGTGCAATGGCAAAAATATCAACGATGTAAGCATGCATTCACTTTCGCGAACCAATAAAAATAGAGACATAACCAGCAGATTAGCCGATAATACTTTGCAATTTTTGAAAAGCGTGTTACATGAGAATATAATCAATCCTTCCATACGAATAAACAAAACTTTAAACAAGGATATCAAAGGTGGTCTTAAGAAATATAATGTAACCGCTAAATTCAAACATGTCAAACAAAGTATATATAACATATTAATTCATCTTTTTTCCCATCCTTCCCCCTTCTCCATAAAAAATTTTTTTAAATCCCCCCCCCCCCCCCCCCCCCAACTCGTTAATAAATAAAGCAAAGTGGTTTAGATAACCCAATTTTTAGATTAGCTTTCTTGTGATGCCTTTTTTCTGTCTTCCGACCTTGAAAAGGTGATCCTGATGATCCTGTCTGAATTGAAAATATTTTTTAAACCTAAAGAAAAACTTTGAATATTCCATTCTTCCACTTACAACTCTAACAAAAATAAATTATACAGTCCAACTTCTACAAGATGAAACTCCATAGTTAATTTTAGTCAGAGTTTAGAACGAATAGAGCAGTTTTAATGAGATTATTTTTAATTCGGAGTTTAGTTGGGACATATCAGGAAGAGCACCACCATTTTCTTAAAATATACTCGATAATAATATTTTAATAATCGTTTCTCTGATTATTTTATTATTTTTTTCTTACAAATTCTTTGTTTAGCTTTAGATTTTATCATAAAGAAGAAAAGGATTAACAATAGGAATCATTTTTTATTTATAAGAAGAAAAATAACAAAGAGGAATAAACATAGCGTTTACCAGCCGGCTAAAAAAAATGGGCTAATCAGATTTAGTCGAAAAATATATTTTGGCCACGAAGTTTTTCTAAATATATAGCAACTCAAATTTGAAAGAAATTAGTATAAAATTAAAACTCCTTAAGGTAAACGGATTTTCTCCGACACGCGCCTGTAGATTAAGCAGAATTTTACAACACCTAGCCATTACCCAACTAAACTCTCTAACTTACTAGGAGAATACTCTTTCCCATTGAAAGATTTGTAGAAGCAAATCACCCCCCCCCCCCCATCAGTTCATGTAGACACTGATATATCACCTATACTGGATTTATATTCTTAGTGATCTTTTAGGGACAAAAAGAAAATAAATATCGATATATATAATATGCCAAATTTATTAGGGCAAGAATAATTTTCCTTGGCGTAATGTCAGCTTATAATACTATTTATTACTATAATTATCTTATTAAAACCCCAATTTTTCCATTTTTTCAAAAAAAAATTTGTTTGAGTTAGGCCGCTATTAATAATAAATGCGAAAATAGCACGATATCGGTCCCCAAAGTATGGTATCTCTCATCGTTATGAAGAGCGATATCTCTCTATTTTTGCACTCTTATAAATGTGAACTTAGATCAAATGATGTGGCTAGTTATTATAATTTAGGAGATCCTGAAGAGTCAATTATAATCTATTTTTAAAATTTAGTCTGAATTTTACTGGGCATATGAAGTGTGCGCTTTAACAACTGATCAAAATTATAATATTTTATTCCATTCACTTAGATATAGTATGTCCATTTATTGTAACTTACTATTTTAATTTATTTTTCTAACAGTGACTCTATCCCATTTGTCAATAAGACAAAAAACAATAAATATTAGAACTGTAACAAGAAATTGCATTATAACATATGATCATTTTCTATTTTTTTAAATTTTTAAATATTTTTAGCAATTTTAAAAAAATAAATTGTGACCCTTTCGACATGTGATTAGGAAAAGATGAAATTAATAATAAAGAAAATATTATTTTATCAAAAGATTTTATCTATATCTGCTGTTAAATTGTGTTACATCTAGTCCACCTGAATTTAGCTTTAGGCGTTTTTGAAATAAACACTTTGCTCAAGTAGAAAGTGTACTCTAAGTAGCGTGCTTTATTAATTTCAGCTGAGCACACTTAGACCTCACCCAGTGGCCCCTACACTATCTGAGGGAAGGAAGCAGAATACCTCCTAAAAAGTACCCCCCCCCCCCCACCTTCGAAAAAATTGCTAATTATTATTTGACACTCATAAATTTCAAAAATAATTTTTATTGCATCAATCTTTAATATATAATATAATAAAATAAAATTATTAAAAAAAATATATACTTTAAATATATTTTTTTTAAATTAATAATTTAGACAAATTAGGGGAATAGAAAGCGAAAGAATCAATATTTAATTGTTTAAATAAATTTTTTCCCATTGATAAAATGAATAAATTATTCTGAAATGGATCTTTCATTGCACTACGAAATATTGTTTTACTTAATTTAATTACTCATGACCCTTTCAGCAGTATACATGAGGTAGTAAGAATGGTTAAAAAATATTTCTATAAAATTGTAAAATTAGAGAAAGAAGAAAAATTTTAAAGTAGACGATAAGGTAAAATAAACGAATAGTTTTCCCAGTCAGAATCATAAGTCTCAGAATTATCATCATCATCAGAAGAAGAAGCTAAATAATGTATTAGTAAAAATATTTTAATTAAACAAATTTACAATTCTCAGAATCTGACAAATCTTTAAATTCTTTAACCTATTATTTAATTTAACATGTATTAACGGAAACACGAGGTCGAGTCCGATATCATAAACCAGAAATCATTTGATTATGGATGGGTACAATAAAAGAATTAAATTTTTTTTAAAAAAGTACCCACTCTCAAATTTTTAGAAGCAGTTGCTTCGGACCCCCACCGTTGTAGGGCACTGACCCCACCCTGGAATAGCCATAACACGTTAATTAAAGCCAACTCATAGGTGACCTAATATTTCTTGATCAACACCATGTCTAATTGTTTAAATTTTTATATATGCTAGGAGTAATGTGTCATTTTTTCAACTTTAAATGATTTTTTTGCAAAAATCTGATTTTACTCGAAATATATTCGTGTGTAAAATGTCTATCTTATGAATTTTAAACCACTTTGCAGTTAACCTTAGAGTCATTTATAATTCACCTAAAAATATGATAAACGAATATTATTAAATTCAAGATTTCGTCACAAAATCATCTGAAATTTATATGGTAAGTATTCCAAACATAACAGAATATATTTCTGATAAAAAATAGATTTTTAAAATTTAAAATATTACTTTCAAAAAATGATTTAAAGTTTAAAAAAATAATGCATTGCCGGAAAAAAAAACAGTGTATAATTTTTCATAACTTGTAAAATTTATATATGGTAGATAAAAAAATTTAATTTCAATTTAATTATCTTTGATTTTAAATTAGTTGGTCTTATTTTAAAAATAAATCATTAAATTTCAAATAAAAAACTATAGTTAATCCATAAAATTAGCATAACATTATTTTTCGACGCATAGATTCAGCGTAACAGATTTTTTTTAAAATTAGGAATTTTCCTGGCATGGAAATTAAGTGATCGAAATAAGAAGGTTAAATTAGTTATTAAACGTGATCACATTTGGAAGTTATCTTTGTAGTTATTACAAATAAGTATCTTATACAGGATATATAATTAAATTAGTTTTTTTTCTCTTCCAATATTGTATTAAAGTTTTATTTATATTTTATAATAATATTTTTTTTGAAAAAAGCTTATTTTTGAGGTATATTATATAAAATTATATTTTGTTCTAATACTTAAAATAATTGCATTTTTCAATATGAAATAAAATAATAAGGTATAAAAACAGGCACATGATTTTAAATTAAAAAAAGTTTTTAACCGTACATAAAATCGATAATATATTATCCTTTATAAATATTTTGCTCATAAAAGAGAAAAATAATTATGGTAATTAGTTCCATTCCATAATAGTGACACCGAGATATTAATGAGATTCACTTTTTTTTCAAAAAAAATCATGGGAAGATTGACAGGTATGAATTTAAGGGGAGAAATTCATAGTGGAAATGAAATATGAGTTAACAGCTGATCAAGCTTAAAACTATCTTTTAATAAGGCCAATATTTCTTTATCCATATTAATGGTTCTTAGAATATTATTATGATTGGAAATTAAAAATTAATAAAAATAAATTATCTCATTAAAAGGCTTTATAAATTCGTTCAGCTGTTAATAGGTGTCGCATCATTTTCTCTGACCATATTCAGTTTTCGGCGTGTTTTTGGAAGGAAATAAGATGAAATTTATCATAATGATCAATTCTTTCTGGAAATCACTGCTTCCCACTAGGGAGCAAAGGGATGACAATAAGCCAATCACATATAATACTTACCGAAACTGACATTTCATTTATTAGAATTCTATTTGAAGCGTCGTTGATTATAAATCAGATGGTGACACCATTTTGGTTTTCCTCATAACAAATTTTATAAATAAATAAAACTTTAATTCTTTTTTTTATTTTTAATATTAATTGTTGGTATAAAAAATCAAAATAGCGTGGTACCCGCTGATTTGGATAGATGACATTTATATAAATATATTCGTTAGTCTACAAAAAAAGATCGTATATTTTCTTTGTTATCTTCCTATTTTTGAAACTTTCTAAATTGTATTCATACTTGTATACGGAAAATAGCTGATTCTTTAATATCATATTAATTTCATTTATATAAAGGTAAATATTGTGCGTATGTAAATTTATACAAGGATTCTTGAATTTTTTTTTTCTATCAACTAGTAGAGGAGAAGGGATAATATAAAAAATGGGCGCTGACTAGAGCCAACTCCTGAGCCATCGCATCTAGTCGGCTTGAGCCTGTGCTGATTTTTACGACTCTGACTCGAGCTGTAAAACTGGGCTCATTTAAAAACACTAGGCTCAAATAGAAATCCAGAAATTGGTTTACTAAATCTGTTTTGCGAAAATAAAAAAACTTTCAAAAGATTTTAAATCTTAATCAAAATCGTATGTTAAAATTTTGAAATTTATAAAAAAAATTATAATTATATTTATATTAATGTTACAAAAGTTTCTGAATTCAATTTTTGATATTTAGGCCACAGTCTAAAAAAAGAAATTAATACAAAGGAAATATTATAGTTTCATTATTTATATGATTTATATTTAATAAAAATAAAAAAATGAAAAATTTTCAAATATAAAATACTGTTCGTTGTCATCAATGATTTATTAAAAAAAACAAAGGGGAAAATAAATAACTGCGACACAAAATTTAAAGCCTCTATTAGATTATTCTGAAAACTTCTGCATTAGGTTGTGTCCAAAATTTCAAAAAAAAACTTGATACGCAAACTCTGAAAAAGAGAAATAAGCTTTCGTTTAAATTCTAAAAATATTTTAAAATTTTAAAAATTTAACATAACGATTTCTAAAATTTCAAAACTTCTAAAAGTATTAAAACTTTTCGAATTTAAAATTTATTCCGCAAAAGTATTCTTCGAAGTATTTGTAATTTAAATAAATTTTTCGAAATTTATTTTCGTTATTATTTAATTTATATTTATAATACATCTTTCAAAAAGGTATTTATATTTATCTTCAGATAATTTATTTTATATATCGAATGCGTTTTTTTGAAAACTTGCCTAAGCCCAGAACACCATTTTAAAATTTTTATTTAAAAAAGAACTAAACTGGTATAACTATTGATGGTTCGACACTCAGTGTGAATTATAATATAAGGGTCATTAATTAGAAAACTTTGAATTATATAATTATATATTTTTTGAAGACTATAATTTAGACTTCAATATAATGACGTTAGAGTAATAATAATTTATTTTGGCACAAAAAAAAACATTTTTTTCGATTTTTTAATTTTGTATAAAAAGTTTTAACACGATTATAAAATGAATCATTAATTATTTATAATCCAATCGAAGAATCTGATACACTATTACAAATATATAACGATAACCTCAATAAAACTGAAAAATTAAGTCGTATTTGTTACATGACAACTAATGTCAACGAATACTTTTCTTCTTTTTTTAAAAAAAGAAGAGTTTTCTGTTTGAATTGAAATATGTTTTTAATTTGAAATTGAATTAGAATCAATATAAGCATGATTATGATTTATTGGAATATAATAAAAATGATAGGAATTGATGTAATTGGTTAATTTTTTTAAGGCGTCCTATAACGCTTACTTCAATGATCCTCATCTATGGCGACAACGAATTTCGCCGTAAACGGTCCACAGGCTCATTAAGGTGCCATCTTAGAATGCTGGGGATTAATCATTGCCGAAGCCAATCGGTCCTCAATCCTTTATTTTCCAAATTTTAGGTTTAATCTAAATAAGTGCTAAAATACAAAATAGGATTATAGGAAAAATAAACAATTAAAAAGCATGAGATGTTTTTTTCAGAAATTCGGAAGTAGGACTGGTTAAAACTTCAAAGATTTATCTGGTGGAAAAGGTTAAACAAGAAGAGAGGGAACCGTTCAAGAGATATACATGGACTTATTAAAAGGGGATTTAAAGATGTTAAGACTAGAACCAGAGATGGCACAAAACATGGGTGAATGAGGACGAAATAATTCGTTCACTATTTTTATGCGATTAACACAATTTAAATTAGAAATAAAGAAGAGGAATGAATGGATGTGGAACTCAAATGTCAATATCTAAGAGATTTGATCTTGATAAATTTTATTTAAGCTATATTAAACCTAATAAAATAATTCAGTGATAAATTATCTGAGTCACACAAGTGAGTGATAAATTACAAATTTTAGCAAATTTTTTATGGTGAGCTTTGTCCCGGTTTGGGGTTCTCAAAAATTTAAAAAAGGTTGGCTTCTTAAATTTGACCCGGTTCTAGATTCTGATTCCAAGATTCGATTAACAAACTTTCTCAAATGAATCACAAAGTTTTGAACAATATATGTATGAGTAAAATTTCAGGCCATTTTCTTTTCTTTCTTTCGTTCGTTCTTTCTTGAATATTAAAGAATGCGTGCTTTAAATGTTCGTTACATATTTTGTTAGAAGCTGTTCTGGTTGAGGTTTATATAAATGCTGTTGTTACAATTTCTAAAATTTTAAGAAAAGAATTATTTTCTAATTTCGGGTCCTATATGCGGTCCGGATTCAAGGGCCCATGTTTCAATGATTTTTACTTCTGCAAATTACAGTCTATTGGTTAATTGAAAATCACTATTTCTACATTGCCATCCATTTACATTTATTGTCTTACTTCTTCACCGTTAATAACTCAATTAGTAGGTATCCCAATTCGCAAAGAAAAAAAATAAAATATAAAAAGAATGATAAAAAATAGAATAATATACTAAAAAAAATGAAACCACTTAATAAATAGCATCCATTCCTTGTTTCCTTGTGTTCCTATATCTTTTTTTTATGGATCTTATTTAATCAATTCTCGTTTTCTAACTTTTCCCCTTTGTTAGTTTTTAAATCCCATCCCTGGACATATTATTATTAATAAAGTGTTATGTAATACTGAATTAATTTTTATAAAATAAATTATTTTCAATTTTTATATTATTTTTAAAACTATTTATTCGTCATTGTTTAATGATACACTTAAAACCACCAATCCAAAATAAAAAAAAATATGGTTTGGTTGTTTTCATGATGCTATCAAAATCGAATACATTTTATCTTATGTTATAGATATAACTGAACTATGTATTATGCCACATATACGTATTTTTAAATTGAAATCTGTTAAATACAAGTTTAAAATGACAACTGAAAATCAATAATAATTGGAATATACTACATTGTTTGTGTACTTGTATTTTATACATGAAATGAATTAGTTTATTTAAATTTAGAATAAATTTGATATAGGTCTATTTTTACGCTCCATTAATCATTTCGATTAGTATTAAAGTCTTATTAATCTTTGTCTGAAGTATTGATTATTTATATTATTGTAATAATTATAATATCTTTTCTAAGAATAAAAAGTTAAATTTTTTAAGGCGAATTGAAAGGATAGGGGGAGGATATACAGATTTTTATTTAACAAACATTGTTATTATATATATATTTATATGAAAATGTAATAAAGTATAATATAGATATATAAAATAATGAATTTTAAAATTTGAATTTTTGTATTTTTCCAAATGGAGTGAACTGATTTAATTGCATGAAAAATTTGTCAAAATTTAAAAATATTATATTATATTTGTTTAAAGATCGATTATGGAGATTAATTTTTTTTACAATAATATTATTATTTTTAATTTATTTTATATTAGTATAGTTAAGGATTAAAAATAATACACTTTTAATATTTTCCAAAAATGTTCTTGCAAAATATAACATAACGCCATTAATTAGATTGCGTATTAAATAATTAACTAATAGCTTAGATCATTATGCTAAATGATATATTCGGTTTTCTTAAAAGGATCTGGGTACTTTCCCCCAGAGTTAGAAAAAAAAATCTTCCTAATCTTTTTGAGCAAAAATCTTTGAAGATTTAGATTTTTTTAAAAAAGGGATTTTGGCATATTTGCTTTTTCTTTGAAATGGGCTATATTTTATTACATAAATTTAACTGTGATTGCATATTTTAGCTTAAGAAAATTTGATTTTTTTAAAAATTTGGTTTAAGTAATACTCTCATTTTAAATGATATAATAAATAAATTTGAATAGATCCTTTTCAAATTTTTTATAACTACATTAAAGAGTAATAACTAAATAATGCCATATATTGAAATAAATATTCAAGAATAATATGTGTTAATAAGTGTGTTAGTTGTCTTCTTTATTTTTTTAAAAAAAATAATTTTTTCTTTTTATTTCGATCGGAGATTCGACAACTTTCTTTGGGATAAATTTCTTATAATTGTTACTAAAATCTTCAAATTAAAATTAAATTTGGCCGTGATGAATGCTTTTATTATTTTTTACGTTTGTCAAAAAAATAATTGTAAATAAATTAATGAACCATAGGTAGGGACTTTTACAACCCCCCTCTGTGTCAAGGATAATTTACTCTCTCACTCCCCTACCCCTTTACTGCCTCTTACCTTATTCTTACCCCTTATCAACTTAACCCTAAGGTAAGTTCTTGTACTTAAAGCTTCGAAATCTCTCAATTTATAATTTCTGAGAGATATTTATCATTCTAAAAAAGTCAAAAATAGTGTTGTTAATTGCTTGGTCGTAACATTTACGACCCAATTTTGTGCTCAGGCCTGCTTTGATCATGAACCCTGAGAACAAACCTGGGGTTCAGACCAGGCACTAAACCCCATTTATTTTTAGTTGTTTTTTGTTGAACTTAGGGTATATATTAGCTTTATTCATTAGGAGAACAAGCATTCCCTCTCGATAAGCTAATGTAGGGTTTGGGGGGGGGGGTCAGGAATATTTATCCAAAATAATAATATGGGTATCAAATAAAAGGTGTTTTTATATATCTTGACTGTAGTAATCATAATTATTATTCTAACTCAGTGAGTCTAGGTCTTAAGGGATCAGGAATAATTTTAACAACACAAAATATTGATATCTCAACACGTTACTTACTCCATAAATTTAAGACAATTTTCCCCTTGAAATTTTGTGACTTTTTTAATTTTCTTAAAATAAAATCTAATATTATAAATCTATTCTTTTTAGATATAAACTCATGTGTGTTATTGGGATCAAGTATGTCAGGTCCATTCTTAAAATTTTGCGCAAACGATTTTGAAATTGCAGTCATCATAAGAATATGTCTGATTTATTTTACTAGAGAAACTTCTAATATCAAATTAATATCAGTTTAAATAAATGGGGTAGGGTTGTACCTTGAATTGGAGCTAGCTGACACATGTCATAACAACCGGAGTCAATCTTATCAATAATTAAATATTACGGTTTTGTTTTGTATTGAAAATTAAATCAAATAATATTTGCCTGTTATAAATAGTCTTTACCGATAAATTTAAAAAACTTAATTAATTTTAAAAAAATAATAAATTTCAAAATCTTTTAGATGAAATAAAGGATGATCTCGAATCCAAAGTAAGCGAAGAATATTGTTTTGATTCTCTATCTGAGAATACAGACTCTTCGGACATCAATGAAAGCTCAGAGACTGATGATGAATATGGATCAGATTTCTCCACATCTACTGAAGAAAGTGATTTAGATGTCGACTCGAAATTTTCTTACGGTTAAAAAAAAATACAAAAATACATAGACAATGTAAAGATATTTTGATTTTAGCTGAAGACTATAATTTATCTAGTATTGGATAAAATAATATTATGTTTATATAACTTTAAATCATATTGAAAACAATTAGTTTTAAGCGAAATTTTTAAGATTTTCGACAAACAAAGCCAATATAGTAAATAAAACAAATTAAGAGGTCTTAATGTTGCTAAAAGGCTATATTTGAGTCGATTTTTAAAAATGCTAACTCAATATTTATTCTAGAAAAATATTACGCAAGCTTTAAGATTTGCTCATAGATGGCACAAGAGTTTGGACATCCATTAGCGAAATCTGGAGGCTTATGAAATATCTCATAAAATACTGAGGTTTAACAACACCAAAAGGCCTAGTGTTTGAGAGTGAAGGATAAAATAAAAACAAGATATGTATATAATAGAACCGATAATTTCTAATTTTTTTTACAAATCATCGCATGTATGATGTTTAATTATTATTTTCTAATTGTGATTGTGTAAACATTAGTTTATATATAGGTCGTATTGGGATAAGAAATCCATAGGGGACGCGAAATCTCTCGATTTTATATAATTTACTGAGAAGAATGTTTAAAGTTATAAAATCCAATTTGACCGGAAATGTTTGCGAATTTCACAACAATTTTGCAGTAGATTTTATAACTAATACTATTAAAAATAAAAATTAAAAAAAAACACAAAAAGTTAATGGCGGAAATTGTCTAAAATTTAGAGGTTAACCCTGCATTCATAGTTAATGCGAATTCGCGGCAAAGTTTACAAAATATAATATAAATATAATAATTTTACATTAATTTTTATATATTTCGCCGCGAATTCACGCTATCTGTGAATGCAAGGCAAGTGCATTCTACATGCTAAATTACATTTCCAGTCATATAATGTGATTTTGAAATTCTAAAACATAGCCCATGGATAATAATTTAAATAGAAACATTCCTAAATACTCATGAATTCCATTTCTAATACGACATATATATATGTATTTCTTTTCTTTTCTTTTCTTTTCTTTTCTTTTCTTTTCTTTTCTTTTCTTTTCTTTTCTTTTCTTTTCTTTTCTTTTCTTTTCTTTTCTTTTCTTTTCTTTTCTTTTCTTTTCTTTTCTTTTCTTTTCTTTTCTTTTCTTTTCTTTTCTTTTCTTTTCTTTTCTTTTCTTTTCTTTCTTTTCTTTTCTTTTCTTTTCTTTTCTTTTCTTTTCTTTTCTTTTCTTTTCTTTTCTTTTCTTTTCTTTTCTTTCTTTCTTTCTTTCTTTCTTTCTTTCTTTCTTTCTTTCTTTCTTTCTTTCTTTCTTTCTTTCTTTCTTTCTTTCTTTCTTTCTTTCTTTCTTTCTTTCTTTCTTTCTTTCTTTCTTTCTTTCTTTCTTTCTTTCTTTCTTTCTTTCTTTCTTTCTTTCTTTCTTTCTTTCTTTCTTTCTTTCTTTCTTTCTTTCTTTCTTTCTTTCTTTCTTTCTTTCTTTCTTTCTTTCTTTCTTTCTTTCTTTCTTTCTTTCTTTCTTTCTTTCCTTCTTTCCTTCTTTCCTTCTTTCTTTCTTTCCTTCCTTCCTTCCTTCCTTTTTTCCTTCTTTCTTTCTTTTTTCTTTCACAATAATAAGAAATAATTAATTTTTGTGAATTTTTCAAAAGATACTTACGTGTGCAAGATTTGTGATCATTATTTTGAAAGTGGCCAAGAATTTATGAAGCACCAACAAAAGAAAAAACATTTTTGGTGTGGTATATGTAACGTCAATTTAGTCTCCATGAAAATGTTAAATCTGCATAAAATAGATTGCAATCATCGTTCCGATAAGGATTCCTTATTCTTAGATTGCAATCCATATTTAACCAGTCCGCTCATTGAATATAATCACAGTTATAGCAAGGACAAGATGGATATTGAGACCTTAATTTAGGCTAACATAAACTCGATAAATATAATGCTATTATGGGTAGAATACCATATCATCAGCTAGAAATTTACAAAATTATAATTATTTAAATTTTATATGCTGATTAAATTTACACAAATAAAAATTTATATATAGTAAAATAACTAAGAGCATTGGAAAAACCAAAGGTGGGAAGGTGAGATATCTCCCCCTAACCAATTGTATTTTTTAAGTAGTAAGTACTATTTTAAAATAAATATTATTCACTACAACTCACCTACACTTCACACACCCATCTACCGAATAATGAAGAGAATATGTCATTATAAAAAACAATTTTTATTTTAAGAAAATTTATTTTAAAAAGTTTAAACCAAAATTATTTTTTAAATAAAAAAAACCTAGTCAAAAAATCTGGCTTACCCTGCATTCACAGTTAACACAAATTGGCGCCCAATTATACAAAACATTGATATAAATAAAATAATTTAACATTAATTTTTGAAAATTTTGCTGCGAATTCGCGCTAATGTGAATGCAGCATTAAACTTCTATAAAATTTATGGGGAGGGGATAAAATCCTAGATGTTATGGACGTATCCTTGATCAGCCATTCATAATCAAGATATTTTATCATTTATTTTTACAAAGGCAGAAAAATTATATTAAAAAAAAGCAATAACTACAATGAATATAATCTAAAATGAGATTGTCTAATAATTTAGGAAGGATTTGGCATTCAAAAATAGAATTATAAAAACAAAATTTTTCTAAGTAGTAACCTTTTAAAAAAGGTAATGACATTAATATCAAGGCTGATAATTTATTTTAAAATAAATTTAAAAGTGTGCATACATGCGCCATTTTATGGTCTGCATGTCAGCTAAGATGACATTTAAGTTTATGTTTAGAAAAAAAAAATTCTAACAATCTTAACTGTTTTATTATAAATAAAAGTTTTAAATTTCAATGGATAGAAGTATTATTCGACACTTAAATTTATATTAAAAATTAAACTATCCAAAAATTAATATTTTTTGCTTAAGAATAGAATTATACAACTTAAAAAAACTACCGTACAAATATAAATGATAATCATTTAGAAAATGTATGAGTTAATACTCTATAGTGTTAAAAAATTGGTATACATATATACAATGTAAACGATAAGGAACGCGTTCCGAAACTTTAAGTGGACGGACCGAAAATAGAACATATTTTTTATCATGGGTGGGAAAGGAAAGTAAAAATATATATTACCGCCTTTTTTAGTAATGTAGTATCATTTTTAAAACACATAAGAGCCATTTCCAATTCAATTGTGTCACATTTTTCAATATTAAATAAAAATTTGATAGGACACTATGATTTTGAGAAAAATTCAGTAAGTTTCGAAGAAAATATTGGCAGATTGCTTTCTTTCTAAGATAATTATGTTATTGGCCATAAAATCGTGAATTTAGTTTTCCATTAGGATTGTATTAGTAATAGACAATTTTCAAAAAAAAAACGATTTTTACATCTTAAATAGAGTATGAATAAATATTTTGATAACGATTCTTACGTTACGATTATTAAAAAACTTAAGAATCTTTTATAAAAAAATTTTATAAAAAAAATCTTCATGAAAGAAAAAACTTAGATTATCAAGTTGGAGAAAATTCTATGGAAAGTGCTGCTGATATCAATCAAAAATTCAATAATTTCAATTTTTTAATTTTTTTTTCTTACTTTAAAAGCAACTAGGGTTGTTAAAAGGGTCGATTTTGAGCCTATTTTTTAAAACGGCTCTAGAAATATATTAAGCAAGCCTGAAGATTTGCTCATAGATGGTACAAAGATTTAGACATTTAGAGACATCTCGAGGTTTAGGCTATATTTTCCTGGCTGTAATATTGAGTTAACAGCTTTTAGTCTGAAGCAGTAATGCATCAATTAATATTATTATAAATATTTGAGATAATAAACGTAGAGCAATAATCTATCTTAATTTTCAAGATATATTTATAATCTCAAAAAAAGGACATAAAATTTTAAAAATAAAGGATTCATTGGGAATAGAAATTTTTTGTTAATATTTTTTACTATCAAAATTTTGTTTTGAAAAAAAAAAATTAAACTGATAACCTTTTTGAAATAATGTTATATATTAAATTATTGAATGTGTTTGAAATGATGACAAGTATATTTAAAATAAAAGAAAATCATTCTGATAAATTATAGTGTTTGTGTATCAAACCAGGAACATTATCTTTCGATATCTTTAAACTTTAAAAATGTTAAAAATCAATAAATTTGAAAATATTTGAAATGTTAAAAATTAGATTCTTGAAATCAAAATATTTCAGAACTTTTGAATGTTTGAATAAAAATTAATATATTTGGTGAATTTTTTGAATCGGCTATAAGACATTTTTTAAAATTATTTTAAATTCAATTTAAATAACTAAATAAAGTAAAAACCTCATATCTTCCAATATTCGATTTATGTATCCTGCAATATATTCCACTCTCTACCCGAGGATACATCCTCAATTTCATTCCGTCCCAATCATATATTTTACCTGTTATGACGAATGTAAGGTGGATGGTATATATAATAAGAGAAGATATTCTCGATCAAGTATGAGGTGAATATCTGGTCAAATGGAGTCGGAGATTTGACAGTCGAAACGTTTGTAGCTGGTCGTCGTGCTAGGATTTTTTTTAAGGATAATTAATTTAAAACATGAATTACTGATTTGTTAGATAGTTTTGATAAAACGCCCGATTAGAATCGATTTATAGTCCCCATTTAGATTTTAGCCAAAATAATATTATATAAGACGATTGCAGATAGATGTATAAACATATAACTGCCATTTATGAGCAAAAGCTCTAGGGCTTACATATTATTTTGAGCTGAGCCGTTTTTAAAATTCAACCCAAATCGGGTTTTTTAACACTACAGCAGGATAAAGGAAATTACATATGTGCATTTTTAGTTATGCCCTTCTTTTTATAATTCACCTGGAAATCTCTCTTCTTATCTTTATAATCATTTAATTAACAGCCATGTCGATTAGCTCATTTGTAAAATTAGCCCTTTAGTATTTTCCCTAACACTTCCTTATTAAGGTGGGCGCGGGCCGTGAAATTAGGCGTGACCCATCGTGTCACGGTGGGTCACGCGTGAGTGTGAATAAATTTTAATTTCCAAGGCGTGATTGGGCTTGACGGGCCTTCCCAAAATTTTCCCCGGGCGTGATCGGGCGTGAACATAAATTTTTCGTGAATCACGGAAATTTTAATTTTTATAATTGTTTTTTTATAAATATAAATTTGCAATTTTATAATTATATTATATATTTTCTTATTTAATTTAGTTCTTTTTTAAAAAAGAATAATTTATGAAAACTACAGAAGTAGAAAATTACTTAAATAAATGTATAGTTGTGAGTGATAACGGAGGAAATCTTATAAGTGCATTCAAAGGACGAAACGTTAGAATGTATATGCCATATACTAAATAATATTATGCATTATATTTTTTGACAATTGTTTAACTGAAATAGCCTTAAATATAAATGGTGTAAAAAAAATAGTACATTTCAAACAATCTACAGCTAATAGCAAACTAAGCCACGCCCTTAAACAAGATGTAATAACGAGAATAACAAGATGGAATTCTGTATATATCATGATATGGAGTTTCTTAAAATAATATTATGAAATTCAGGTGTACTTGTTTAGCAAGCAAGAATTAAAAAGAGCCACAATTAATATCAGCATCATACGATAGTTAGATAAATTTTTATCAATATTTAAAGAATGCTCGGATAATCTGAGAGCAGATTCTCGTCCCACAATTAATGAAGTTTGTCTATGGAAACAAAAATTAGTAAAATTTTGTTAACCTTCTGAACGTGATACAATAATAATCAAAACCTTAAAATACAGAACAAGATTTCTTTTAAAAGATTATTATGCAGCCACTACATAAGGTAGGCTTAATTCTAGTTCCGAATTTCAAAAGACTTAAGTTTTTAATAAAAGAAGAAAAGGATGATATATATAAAACCATCTTAAAAATGCTAAATGATATAAAATTAGATGATATGCATAAGTCGATGTCAACTTCATTTATAACTTTCCTAACTTATCCTAAACTCATAAAAAACCTTATATTCTAAATGGTCAATACCAACTATAATTTATAACTTTCCTAATTCATCCTACACTCATAAAAGACCGTATATTCTAAATAAAAATTTTAGAGAATTTCTAGATGATTCTGATGAAGCATCAACATCACCGTTCATATAAGATAAATAACAACACAATATTTTGAAGTTTTGGAAGCAGGAATATTCATTTCCTTTTTTGAGAAAATTATCGAGTAAAATTTTGTCAGCTGCAAGTTCGGCTTCTAGTGAAAGGTTATTTTCTGTAGCGAATCTCTTATTAGAGAAAAGACGTACACAATTGAAATATAAAAAGATGGACATTCTTCTTTTTCTTAATAATTTCGATTTATAGATTGTATTTATTTTTTGTTATTAATATGAATTATGAAATTAGAGAAATAAATAGAATGAATTCAAAAAAGTGTAAAATTATAGCAATAGTTTTGAAAAATTTAAAAACACCGTGAATTTTCGGGCGTGAATCAAAATATTGCTTTTCGTGAGCGGGCGGGTCAAAAATTTTTTAGTGGTAATCGTGAATGGGCGTTAATTATTTTTATTGCCACCGTTTAGGCCCGCACCCACCTCTATTCCTTATCACGGTTCTGGACCAGAATTTTTTGCGAGGTTTAGTACGTGCCCAGTTTCAAATATTTTTTTTATAAATAATAAATTTGATACAGGTCCTGGCTGGCTAATTTTTTTGTGGGGCTCGGTCCAGACAGGCCGAACCCATAAGAGTTTTATAGCATCTATAAATTTTAGTAGTAAAAAAAAATTGAAAAACGATAATCACCATAGGACAGTTATCATCTTATGCATTAGAAATTTTAAAAAATTGAAGTTTGGACATAACTTAATATTTTTTTGCTTGTTAAATGTCGACATAAAATTTCTAAAATTCCTGAACCTGTGTGTGGAATAGGATTCAAAAACTTAAATATTTTCGGGTTCAGGTTAGGTATAAGTAATCCATTACATCGCTTTTAAAATAAAAAAAATGCACAGCATTCTGCCTAATGCTTTAAGAGCTTTGTCTAATTATGATAGTTGCAACACTTTCGCCATTTATCCTGTAGTACCAATGTAACCCTGCATTCATAGTAGGTACGAATTCGAGGTGAAATTTTCGGAAAAAATTATTCTCGAACAGGCTTGGGTTTTTTCAGACCCGGCCCATATTTTGTTAAAATATATGGCACGACATGGGTATATTAAAAAAACTCATACCCAGCCTGGGTATATTCGAAAAATTGAAATATTGCCTGGTCCATGTACCCGGCTGGGCCTGCAGGTATCTGATATTTATATATTTTGTATACTTCACCGCAAATTCGCACTAACTGTAAATGCGGAATAAAATTCAATCTAACACATCTTTATAGTTTTATAGAACAAAGTATTATAATTCGGACATTTAATACTCTAATTATAAGCTAATCAATACAAAAAGGCACATAAAGATAATTGTCAAAATTAGGAAATTTGGAGTGTGTCCAAATATACATTTTAATTATTCTTCATTTTTGAAACTATTTTTAAAATTTATTTCATATATAACGCAATCCTTTTGTTAATTTTTTTTTCTCAATAATTTTTTACGTAAGAGAATCTTAAAATATAACTTCTGCAGTTTTCATAAAACATTTTCAACCGTTTTACAAAGAACCTCTACTCCCAAGACAATATTTATTTATAAATCGTTATTAATCTTATTATATGCGTAAAAAATTGCAAAGTATTAGCATGAATATAAAATATTAGGTAATTCTTATAACTTTATGGGTATAAAAGACAATTTTTTGGAAAAATGTTAAATATTTTATCAAAAAATGAACATAAATAAGTAAGATATAATGTATAAAATACAACTACACATCAAATTGAAGGCCTCTATGCACAAAAAAGTTATTCAAGTTAATATTTTTACAATCTTAATTACCCCCCCCCCCCCCTATTCCAAAGCACAAGGATTTACATTAACAACCATGGTTTTGATGTCTGTATATTTATATTATATTTCAATCTTGATCGATATTATGCTGAATTTTGAAAATTACTTCTAAAATATGATGTTAGGTATTCTAAACACTAAGTTATTGACTTTTAAAATAATTTGATTTGTTTATTTTGTAAAAGTACATAGCATGGTAGAATCAAAATATAAACTTATGGGAATATGGGCCCAAAGAATTTGTGTTGATTATTACGTACGTTAATTAATTTATAACCAAAAATATAGGGATTTAAGATAATCTTCCTAAAATTAAAAGAATTCTTAAAATGTATTACACAATAATCAGCATATTAAAAAAACACTATTATTCATTATCAAATTATGTTGAATATATCACTGGTGCAAAAGGTAAGTGTAAAGTTAGTTTATATGCACACAAAGCTGGTTTAGAGTTATTGAACACTTCTGTACAAAATATATAACTTTTATTGATATAATAATTACTTTTTTAAAAAAAGTGTAAATTTGTATAAATAATATTATATATGGATATGTACAAAGATAAAAACTAATTCACACTCTATATCATAATTTAATATGGAAAAGTTTACGTTTGTTTATATTTATTTATATAAAGGTTCTACGTTTATAAAATAAATATATTTTATAGTTAATAATATTCTTGATAAAATGATTTGTTATACCAATTTATAATCTTCGAATACCATGTTTTAGTAAGATACTTTAATGATAGTCAAGTTAGATGGATATTCGAAATTACCAAAAAGTTTGCATTAGATATTTTTTTGTTAAATTTAAAAAATAATAATAATACTTACTTTTATAAATAATAACACAATTAAAATTAACTAAAAGAAATAATATACATGCACACAATATACAAATTTTCCTATATTTATTTTTATATACATTTTTTTAAAAACGTGGTTTCTATAAATCCTGCACATTTCCTCTTTATCCGAAATATGATTTCAAAATCTTTGAAACCAACAAGAAATTTTAAGAGGACTAGTCAAAATGGCAGCATGAGCTAATTTGCGTTCATTATTACGTTAAAATTATTATGATTTTCTTCGTGATTCGATGATGGTTGTGTTGACTGTTGCTGCTGTTTTCTCATACTTTTCAACTTCTGTATAAAAAAAGTTTCCAGCACTTCCGCACAATGCCAATAGGTAGACTCCTTGGCATTGTAATAACGGCAATTGTCGAATATCTTAGTCATGTCTCCTATAAAATCCCTCAATTTTTTGTATTGATGCTTGAAGACTTTCCTTTCGATTTTTTTGAGATCTGTTATAATTTATATGTATTAGAGTGTGGTTATATTAAAAATCGAGGAAACAACATTTATAAACCCAATCATTATTGATATATATAAATGCCAATCGTTATGCCGTTTTAATATATTTTATAGATGACGTTATTATAAAAAATTATAGTTTTTTTCCTTAAATATTATTATAAAAAATATATCGGAATAATGTGAGTTACCCATAGGTTCTTTGATGACTTTATAATAATCGGGCGCATCTTTAGAATCCACAGGCTCGATGAATGGCCATGACTTAGGATGACCCTATATTGTTCATAAGATAATATGAATATTATTGAATTTGAAAGTAAATCGTAAATTATATTAAAATTCGCAAAAAATAATATCAATGCTTTACAATAAGATTTGTGGAGAATATATTGATCAAAAATAAAATGTGAACTGTAAATATAGCATTAAAAAAAGCTTTGGTTTTGAATCAAGAATTAAATAATAAATTTAATCCTATGTAAATAAAATCTCCCAAATAAAACAAATAATGCAAAAAAAATTCAGCACAAACCTTAAGTTGTTTAACGAGCCTCTGCAACTGTTCGTAATCTTTTTCATCCAGATTTTTGAGGTTAGCGTTGTTGGGAGCCTTATCAGATTGGCAATTGGGGCAAATATATTCCTCGATTTCCTCAGCCTCGGTTGGCAATATCCCTACACATTTACCGTGAAACCAATCCTGGCATCTGTCACAACCAATATAAAATCTGTTTGACGAAAAAAAACATGAATTTTATTTTGTACGATTACCTTTGTATAGGAATATCTAAGTTAAAGTATAAAAAAAATCAGTACGCCAGTTTCATAAATATTTTATTAAAAAGGTAATCTTATACTGTAAGGTTTTGGTCATTTAGATATTTTTTTCAAAAAAGAATAAAGTATGGTACAAAAAAAACATAACAATTGGGAAATATATAATTACGAAATTTTAAATATTGATAAGAAGTTTTTAGATACATATAAAATACATGATAGATGCACTTGTCAGATAATTAATCTGTCGAATTTGACAGGTCAAGTGATATATAAAATCGCAAGTTATATCGGTAAAACTTGGGCCAATAATAATATACATTGCCGGAGAATATAGAAATTTATTAATTCCAATTTTAAACCATATTAAATTTTATATTAACCATACCCCATATCTGGTACAAAATTTTATTTTTATTACTCAAACCATAAAAACATTAAGATTTATAAATAAATGGTATTCGTCTTTGTTTTTGAGTAAAATGATCAAGTACTGCATTATTATCGCTAGATTTTTTAATAATTTTTTTTCAATCAAGATAGATTCGATAATCGATTTTGGCTCATCCTGTTTGTGCAATAAGATTTAATTCTTTATAAAGATGAAAAACTCCGTTCAGAACTTGCTGTTGTATAATTTACAAAACTCATTAAAACTTTTCATCAAATTAATGCATATTGAAAATTCAAGTATCATTAACATTCTTTTTCTTTCTAAATTCATCGTCCCGAAACACTACCTTTAATTCGGTTTCCAGCTTGTGTAAGTCGAAAATTGAGAATATTGTTTAAATTATCTAATAAATATTTTGATTTTACTAATATCTAACAATTCGATGAATTTGATATTTTTTAATGTATCCAACCGAAAATCAATTTCATTGATTATATTGTCTGTTGTTTTAATTATCAAATTTTTATAAAATTCCTTTGTATTAGGCAATCCTGATCTATTAAGTTTTTTATCTAAATTGTCTTCAATATTTTCTTTTACATTTAAATTTCTCCAAAACACATCTAAGTTTTCTATGTTTGATTTAACTGATTTTCTGTAATCGTTAATACTTTTAAGACAATAAGATATATCGTTAATTTTAGTTTGATTTATCGTATGACATTTTTAAATTTATATACAATTTCAAAGTATTGGATCAAGCTAAAAAATGTCAATTTATAAATTAAATGATCAATATTCTGTAATAATTTTGATAACTTTATAGAAAAACCAATTTTTTTATGTTTGCCAATGTTAAGGACATGATATATTCATAGATTTTATTGTGTGTGGAATTGAATTATATTTAATAAAAACGTTTCAAATATTATTTGATTATTTTGTGGTGCTAGAAAACTGATTATTTAATCATATTAAATTTGACAATAAGAATCATTTAACAATTCTAAATTTTTTAGGAATAATTATATTTTTAAATAAAATTATAAAAATTTACATTCATTCTTTTTATAGAAAAGATAATTATAAAAAATTACTTCAATTAAATTTTTATAAATATATATGTTAGCCGTAATGTGCTTTTTCTGGTAATGTTTGCCGTTAACCTTTGAGTCATTTTTATTTTAAATAAGAAATCTATGGAAAAACTAATATAAATTACATTAAGTTCAAAAGTTCATGGTAAAATTGTCTGAAATTCATATGGTAGGTATTCCAAACAAGGAACACAGAGGTAAAATAAAATTTTAAAATTAAATGATTTAAAGTTGAAAAAATAACACATTGCCGAAAAAACGCATTGTGGCTAACATATAAATATATTTATTATTTAGGCAATTATTGTTTATAAGATAAGATAATTCTTAATTTTTGTTAAATCCTAAAATTTTTTAAATTCATTATCTGCAATCAATAAACAAATGTAAATTTCGTAGTATTTATAGACCAAAAAAAATCATCTAAATTACTGTGATTCATTGTAGGGTTGTTTGCATATGCAATAGAGTTGATTAGTTCCAGCCCCTTTAAAGGCAGTATTATTGTGATGACCACTCTTAGAGGAAGTTGCACTATGATTCACTTTTCTCCTCTTAGCTTGGTGTTTGAAGGTATTAGCAACTTTGAGCTTGCATTCGATACATACATAGCTATCCATCAATTTAGCCTCTTTAGGGGTTATGTTGACACATTCCCCGTGGAACCAGTTAGAGCATTTGTCGCAACCGATATAGAACCTTGTATAATAAATCGATTAAGAAATCATTATTCAAACGGTAGCACATATATTGCAGTTCAGAAATCTAAATGTAATGGGGGAAAAATAAGACTAAGTAATAATTACTTTTACTAAATATTAAAAGATAAAATAATAAATTGCCTAATTTGATATGTTTGTTGGAATAAGCAGTTTTATTGGATTATAAAGAGTTCTTACATAGACACATTTTACTGTGAATTAAAAAAACTGTAAATAGGTGGTCTTCTTTGGTGACTTATCTCTATTTTTTTTAAAATTTGTTCCCATATAATAAACTATCTAGTAAATTTAAATAAAATTGTAACCAAATTTTAAATAAAAATTACTTGGTAGGATCGTATGCCGTTTTGCAGACGCAATACACGCTCCTGGCGCCTTCCATATTTTCGTAATCTTCGTCGCCAGCATTTCCACTTGACCCGAACATAATCCGTTTACGCTTGTTGTTGGAGATGGCTTTCTGAACTTTGGCCAATAGATTGGAATGCTTTTCTTTAAATTGGCCATTAACTTCCTCCTCTCTGGCATCAAAGATATTAGCGTTGTCATCGTTATTGTCTTCTCCGTTCATGTCGTCAATGTCCCTTTCAACCTTGATGTTATGATCCAACTCTTCACCCTCGTGAGTTGCTTTAGATGAAACTGCTTTGCTCTTTTTACGCCTGCTGAACATGTTGATTTTACCTCGCTCAGCTCTCTTGAGAACCTCCTTTGAAGAGCGAGAGCGGGAATGGTCAGAGGGAACGTTAGTGGTGAGGGATGTAGTAATGATGGATTGCTTAGAATCGCGGGAGGTGATTTTTGAAATGGTTGGGTGGGGAGGGAGTAAAGGTTTAGAGTCGTGATCTTAAAGGGGGGTAAAAAGGTGTAATTATTTAAAAAATTGAGTGATAATTATTTAAATGTTAAAATATTTTTGTAAACCCCAAACGTTTTAAACTGTACATGAGCTTAAGCACTTATAATGACAAGTAAAAATATTCAGTAAAAGCTAAAACAGGAATATATGGAGGTAAATAGGGGCAAAGATAAATAAACAGTGACGAAGCATCAAGTTTACTACTAGAGCAGCTATCGAAAAATTGTTTTTATTTTAATTTAGTCAAACCATAAAAAAATTAGAATAAATAAGTTATTATCCACTTTCTAACTCAAAAATTTTGAAAATGTCGAGTGGAGCACTCCAATTCTAGACCGACGATATATCTATTTAAATTATATGCACATATATATGTGAGATAAAATTTACACTTTAATATTTTTATTTTTTAGATAAAAAAACGTTAAATAAAAGTATATCAAAATTCTTAAAAATATCTATAAACAGTTACAGATACCTCTGAAATAGTATATAGATATGGATACTTTTTATAAAACTCTGATAATCTTAATAAATTTTCAATAATATAATTACAATTATTAAACATTAATTAGAAAAATTTTTTTTTTTAAAAAAGTATAATATAAAATAAATTTTCTCTCTTATTTATTAAAAAAATAAGCAGTTTTTTTATTTGCTTCCCCAATGCTTATATTTAAACATACACAATACATTCGCTTGATCTTTTCTTTATTTATTAGAAAAAAATAAGTAATATTAAATTTGCTTCCCTCATGTATTTTTTTTAACATAGTAAATTTTTAACGTATTAAAAATAATATTAATATTTTTAACGTTATAAATATCAATTTTTTCAACGAAGTCAGATTAACCGTTTTTTAAACATATTATATAGATTATATTAAGTTTATTTAAGAATTTTGTAGGAAAAATTTCAAGGGATGTAATGCTTCTCTTGCTTCTATGGAAGCTCCGCTGTAAATAAATAAGAGGATTTCGAGAGTTTGAATAGAATTGAGTGGAGTAAGATTTAAAGATAAAATTAAATAATAAACCCAGTAACAAAAAAAGGCATGAAAAAGATAAATAAACCTGCTGCAGTTCCTGAGCTGTTGAAGGAAGCTTTTTTGTGTAAGGGGAAGAGGAGACCTTCGTCCTTTATATCATCATCGTCTTCTCCTACCATAAAGCCCCCAGCCACTTCACCCCGATATCTTTCTAGGTCCACTCCACTAGTTCGGTTATAATGCTCAAAGCCTTCTTCCTCGTCTTCGTCGTCAAGATCCGTTTCGGAATCGCGTTTTCTTGATTTTCTAAATAATAATTATTGCAATTGTTAGAAACGGTAATATTTTTTTTCTAGATACTTCCCAAAATGTTAATTAATAATTAAATTAATATTTAAAAAATATGCCGCGATAAACATATTTGTTTAAAGCTATGTGATAGCAAGTAATACAAAATTACCAAATTATACAGACTAAAGCATCTAAGAATAACTTGAATCAATAAATAACCTAGCAGCATTTCCTCTTTTCCTTCCTCCTTTACTCCTGGAACTACGTTTTTTAGAGCTGGATTTATTAGGATCTTCGCTTGCATTATTCATTCCGTCCACTTCATTAGAGGTCCTTTGTTTCTTGAGCCCAGATTTGTGGCGAGAACTGGGAGCCAGTTTGTTAAAAGCGGGGAATAGGTAGGATCTTATTTCGTCCTAAAAAAGATATTTTAATAAAAAATTGTTTTGAATTATTAAATCTAACGTTTATAATCCCCTCCCAGTATAGAAATAGTAAAGTGATGCCATTATATTTTTCAAAGCCAGTAGTATCATTAGGGTAAAAGGTTCTCAGTATGATTAAATTTAATTTGAATACCCTCTAAAATAAAAACTAGTGAAATTACTGCCTCAGATTAAGACCCAATTTTGACCAGAATATATGAAAAGTATTAATGTGATGCCCAGCCAATTTTTTAGGGCTTTTTGCAGACCACTATTGAAATAGGTATACTGTATTTTAAGGAATATTTTTCTAAAATTTTAAGAGTAAGTTTGTTATAATAAACGAAAATTTACGATTTATAATCTGTATACCTCAATCTCTCTTTGTAATTTGTGTTCCAAAAAATTGCGCTTTTTCAGAATATCTTTCCTCAAAGCTTGTTTGTGCCTTGTAAGAATTGTCTATATCGAAAATGAAAAAAAAATATGTAAAAAAAATTATATATCGTGTCTAATTTTTTCAGGTCCAGCACAAATATAAAAATTCAAAATAAATGTCTGGCCAGTATCCGTGTTGCTTCTTATAGGCAACCCTAGTTAGATTTTTTTTCTCCCCTAGAGATAAGGGAGGTTAAATACTTATTAACATTTATTTTTTTCGAATCAACTGATATTAAAATATATCATGGTTGGGTACATGACTGGTCATATACGCTTCAATCAAATGATCGATATTTGACTGGCCAAATTCAATTAAATGTTTTTATGATAGTGTTCACTTTATTAAGTATACGTAATAACAAATATACAAAATAAGTAAAAAAATGCAATGCATATTATTTAATTTGGTATTATTCTAAATCATTCTTGAAATATTTTTCGTTTTTATTTTCTGTCAGTCTTCAGGATCAATTGAATAATCATTTTCTCTTATTTAATTAATCGTAAATTATGATAAATGTTAACTAATTTTTCGCATAATCAAAGTTTTAAATAGATTTCGAAGGACTATAGCCAGGACAAATTATATTTTTGAAAGAAAGAAAAAAACTTGATTGAAGGTCATTTTGCTTAGTCGTCTATCTTCGATTTCGAATTTTTGGATCTTTAAAAGATCCTTTTGCACTTTACGTTCGTTTTTGTCGAGGGTATCGAGCATTGATTTCAGAACTAATCCTGCGACGGCCAACCTTATACAATGCAAAATATTACAAGTTAGGAATGTATCGATTTAAAAAATATATCGAATAAGATTTAGCACCAAACATTCATTTTTGAAGAATATCAACATCGGTAAATTGTCCACAATACTTGTGATCCGAGAAGTAATTAGGATGCTTTTTTATTGATCAGTATTAAGCCTTATTTATATAAACGGGTTATGTTCAAGCGTTGCGTTATTTAACGCTATCGAAATCACAACTGATTCTTCATAGCGTTAATAATTTTTGAAATATACGTCGCAACATATTACTTTCAAAATTTATCATAGCGTTATCATCAAAAGCTCCATATTTATAAATGAAACTTATTTATTGGCTTGATTTTGTAAATAACGCAACGCTTGAACATAACGCGTTTACTATAAATGAGGTCTTAAATAAATTTCTATTTAGGGATGAAAATAAATTGTTTCTTTAAAAAAAAATTCAGTAGGAAAATAAATATATAGATTTTATTGCAAATTTTTCTCATCTTAAAATGTAATCCAATATTTCGCTATAAATTTTCATTCTCACAATTAATTTATAATTTACTCATTTATTTTAAATTATTGTGTTATTAAAAAAACCAACTTTTATTTATTTAGATTTTTTTAAAAAAAAGTTAAAAAAAATGTTTTTTTTTTATATCCCTAATTAGATTAAAAACAATAAAATAGGAAATTAAGAAATAAAAACGAATTAATAAATCGGCATTAAACCTTTGATTGGCCTCTCTCTCCTCCTGGGTAAAAACGATGGCATGTCTTAATTTTTTTTTATAAAATAAATTATACAAATTGGCAGTTTTTTATGGTTAATTTCGACAAGATTTTTTAAAAACTACATTTCATATTATTTTAACCTGTATCTGTTCATGATGTTATTAATATTCAATGAAGCTAGGTTGGGGTTGGTGGCATAACAAGATTTTAATCCTGTGGACCCGGTGTTGTTGAATAAAGATTGAGATGTTACAGAACCTAGATTGTTAGCTCGCCACTTGTCGTTATTGAATAAATTTTGATTTTTGCCATAGCCCCCTGAAGATACAAAATTAGAACTTGATTTGGCGTTGTTGATAAGAGCTGAAGCCTTGTTCATCATATTCTGTTTATTTTGGTGAGCCTTTTGAAAAGCCATCAGCTTTCCCTGAACGCTGGGGTCGGTTGTGTTAAGTATAGCTTGCCTCAAGACTATGTTCAAGAAAAAGTGTGTGTATATATATGTATATATATGTAATGTGGGAAAAATTAATATTTTATATATCGAAATTAAACCTAAAGCCAAAAGATATATTAATTATTGACATACTTTTCTGGGTGATCTGAGGTGTCAAAACAAATTTTTTCTCTCCACTATCGGCATTGAGATTACCTTATGAGAATACAAGCAAATTATGTATTCAAATAAATTGCAGTATCATTTTCAAGAAAGACCGGAAGTTAAATCATGGTTGTAAAATCAAGATTATCGGATCCCAAAACGGTTATTTATATTTTATATATATTATATAATAGAAAAGTTATTAGTAACTAGTAAGCAAGTTTATTCCAGTTGCATTGGATGATGTATGAGTTGGAGCTTCGTAAGTATTTGGTGTTATCGAATTCGAAAGCTTTTGTATTTAAAAACAATTCAATGACCATTCAAAACCAAAAAATCAATAAGCAATAACTATACCTTAAAATTACTGATATTATTGAGTGACTGAGAATTCGAAGTGGGAGATAACATGGTAGTTATTTTGACGGGCGTCGTATTATATGAACTGTTAACGAACGAGGTATTGACATTATTCTGCAAAGCAATATTTACAAGTTGTAGCTTTCCATCGGGTAACCGGATGATCTGTTGACCTATTTTTTTTATAAATAAAATTTTCAATTTCCGATTAAGTATAGCGTGTCTTTAGCATTACTAGTTTTTTTTTAAAAAACTTTCAATTTTAAATTTGCCTAATTATAAAATATGACCACGCTATTAAAATGGCAAATATTATTTTTAAAAAGGTTTTAAAAGTTACCAGGTCCTAATGTTTTAATTTGCAAAGTATTTCGTGAATTGGGCGTGGATGTGAGATTATTAACACTTTGTTGGATGTTAACCAACTGTGCTTTAGAATTTATATTGACCAAGTTGGACACATTGTATTTCATCATATTTTGTGGGATAGATAAATCTTTATTTTAAAAGAATATATTTTTTTATAAAAACCATCTAAGCAAAATAAAAGAAATATTGACAAAGATATTTTCAAGAGGTACATTTTGATATTTAGGTTCAGCAAAAAAGTGAAAGCTTTAGAAGGTGTCCCATTATTGTGCCTCAAATATCTTTTACAAAAATAATACCACCTTAAATCTTAGGTAAAAACATATCAAATGTCATGTAAAAATTTCATTCATCACTTTTAATGATAATATTGGGTGGAAAGTTATTCATTTTTTCTTGCGCGTTACCAAGATTGTTGTCCACGTTGCCTGCTAGGTAAATTGCGTTCGTATTCTTATAATTTTGGGCTGTATTTTGCGCCTGGACTAATTTGGTAGCTTGCATGGGGGTGATAAACTTAAGGACGTTGTTATTCAGGTTCTGTAGACTTTGAAGATTAAGTGTATTGGAGTTTGTATTATTGAGACCCCCAATGTTGAGCATTATGGCTTGGTGAGGCCCTCCCCCTAGATTGATATCTTGCCTGTTATATAACAATTTAATATTAAATTATCGTCAATTTGTTTCCTTAAAAGTATTTAAAAATAAAAAATATTATTTTTCTTTCTTAAGAAGTATTATACCTCATAGATTGTTGTCTGATTTGATTTTCAATTTCTAATTTAATTTGTTCTGAGGTCTTCCCGATTAAATTGTTTAGTTTGATTGGTTGCATAAATGGAGAATTTGTTTTGTCTTGCGTGATATATACTCTTTTATCGAGCCTTAAAAAATGAAATATAAAATATTAGCAAATTGTAATTCTTTTTGAAATATGTACAAAAAATGGTAATTATTTATATTGGACAACCCATAGTAATTAAATATATCAGCTGATGATTGTAAAACTTTTTCTTGTTTTGATCACTAATCAAATTATTTTATAAAATTACTTATCAGAAAAGAGTTGGATTTGCCAGAGAGAGAGTTGTCTTTCCTTGACCCACGATTCAATTACACTTGGCTCGACAGTTATTTCAGGTTCCGTCGACTTTTTGACTCTTAAGCTTTTTCGTTCAGGAGGAAAAAGGTCTGTGAAAAAAAATATAAATAATTTAAAGAAAAAGGAAAATATTAAAAATAATAAAAATGAATACTAACTGGTCTAAGAGAAGTTACAAAATAAAGAAATTAATATAGCCAAAAACTGTAATTTACTAGCTCATCATCATAATGTAAAAAAATTCAAAAAATATATACATAATTAAAAAACCAGAAAATTTACACAATCTGATAAAACTTTCGAATTTTCTTAATTTTTTTATTTATCGCAAACTGTAATTTACTGATATAACCATAATTTAAAAAATAATTAGTGCAATATAATAATAAAAAGCAAAAAAAATTACCCAAATCTGCAAATTCCCCTGCCTTTTCAAACATCCCCAAAGATGGCAAGCCTTGACCATCTTTGTCTAAACCAGTTGCAGAATTAGTATTTCCGATATTACCGGCATTGCAAGTATTGATGTTAAGTGGTACCACTATCTTCCTGACCAGGTATTTGGCTTCTTGTCCAGGATACACGGGTTCAGTTCTCTTGAGGATTTCGGTAGTCGTTATTTCTTCCTCACTTGTAACAGTGTGTATGCCGCCAGGGGGAGGTTTCGAACTCATCTCGTCCCACTGAAGAGAAAAGTAAAGGATTTTTAGTTGGAGAGCCAGGGCTGGTAGTGAGTCGGCAGTCCAAGTGCGATATCTCCAAGCTTTGTGTATATAAACATAGATTATCAAATAAATACTATCAATTAGTATCCTAGAGGTCAACTGGACTAGTTACAACTGTGGATTGTAGTTATCATTTGGTTTAAGTTGACCTTTTACTACATCATAAATTATGGTAAAATTATTAGTTACAATAAAGCAATTCACTGTAAATTTAAAATTTATTATGTACTAGCATAGTTTTAACATTAATTTTTGACCTTAATTTACTTTAAAAAAATCCTATATATCATGTTTTAAATCAATTTGACAATTTAATAATTTAAAATTAGTTTATAAGAGTGGTAGAGATAGGAGTAAGACTTAAAAATTATAGAGGTCAGCTTTCAAAGAGGGGCAAATAGGACTAATTTTATGATTTAATAAACTCGAATATATATAAAAATAATAATTATCAAATAAAATAAACACAATTTGGTTAAGATAAAATTACTCGTTTTAAAGGCGGGTCGAGGGCAAAGGTAAGGCCAAAACTGTTGATTATTCTTAGCACTAGGTAGGAAGCCCTGAACCTCGAAATATTTAGGATTTCTAAACACCACAGTCTTGCTAGCTTGTCCACCCATGGTTGTATGAAAATAGTGATTAAGGAATCGTGACAGCCGTTTTACTTCATGTTCTGGGAGTATGAGAATGCTATGCCTTTTGTGTCTCTTGCATACAAACTTGGATCCTAGGGGAACGACCAATTTAGAATAAACCTTTTTCGTTTTAGGCTTTTTGCCCAAACTGAGCCTCACAAGTGCGCTGATGGAAAGGGCATGAGAGGCAGGAAAAAGTTTGGCTACAAACTTGGGACACGTAAATCTTTCTTGCAAATGTATTATCTTTTCATGTAATTCGCTGAGTGCATCTTCATCGACAACTTTTTGTGTAATCTTTGTCGAATCATTGGTTTGATTTGTAATGTTGACTTTGTTGTCATTATGATCACTACTACCATCCGTGGATTTCAGAAAATTAACGAAACTATTCAAATAGGGAGGTGGGTTGGCCAAGGATGTTATCAAGGGAGTCGTCTTAAGATTGGGCAGGTTGAAGAGCTGATCCGAGAACGGGGATGTTTCGTTATTTTCAGATTTGAAAATGATATTGTCCTTTAATGGGGTGATTTCCTTATCTCCTGCTGCTTCTTTAGTTGACCATTCGGTATTTATCTCCGTTTTAATGACGGGCAGTAGTAAGTTATCATCTCTTACAAGTTCCCATTTTTCGTCGATTATAAAACCAAAACTATGGGCCTTGTTGGTCAAGTCGACCTTTTGCTTCTCGAGTTCAATCAAGTCATGGCAGTGCGTTTGGGTACGATATTCAAACAGCTTATGGAAAATGGCCTGTTTTTCCTCATCACGAGCCCCATTGTAAGGCAATGTTGGGTATAAATTTGAAAGTTTATCCTTTAAACCTTCGCTTATGTTGATTAAGGAGGAAGATGAGGAGAGGTAGGCGTTAGGATCTTTTTGTGAATGATACGGTTTTTGCAAGACACGCACTCTGGTTCTGGAGAGCCAAAACCAACCTCCATGTCCCGTAATCCTATAATCTTCTCCTTTCATCTTCCAAACCTATTAAAGTAAAAAAAAATTGTATTATTAATTGATAATCTCAGTAATCTATAAATAATCGTTTTCCTGTCTTCTTAATGTTAACATAATCTTATCTATCAACTTTCCTATCATCATAATGTTATATAATTGAGATAGACTATATAACATGTTAAATTTTACATCTATCTACCAGGCCAAATCGATTTCAGAATCGGTTTTAGATTGAGATTTCACTTAGGAAAATAAAATATTTTTTTGCCAATGACCAGATATCTCATGCCCCAGAAAGAGGCTGAAAGTGCATTTTCAGCTTCTGGTAGGGCCTTTGAAGAGAAAAGAACTCGTTTAAAGGCAGATAAACTGGACTCCTCATTATTTATATATCACAATAATTTATTTTGTGATACTTTTGATAATGATAAGTCATTATAATATGTTCATTATTATATTTTTTCTATATTAACTAATTATATCATCAACATTTGACATAAATCATGCTTATTGTAATTTTTAAAAACAATTGTATTTTAACTTTTTTATAATATTTTTACAAATTAAATGCAACTTTATATATTTTTGATTAGATTATAACCGTCAAATAAACTTTTATTTAAGGTGGCGATAAATAAATACACACAAATTTTTGATATTATAATATTTAAATTCAGATTGTAAAATTTTATTCAGGCTTGGATTGGGGTTGGACTAAAAAATGTGCGCCCAGGCTCGGGTCAGATTGGACTAAAAAATGTCTGCCCGGGTTCGGGTGGGTCTCGGACAAAAAATTTTTCCAATCGGGCTCAGGTTGGGCTGTGAAAAATTACTTTGCAGACCTTTATACATTAATGATCAAAGCTAACCTTATCTCTAAAAAAAATTGATAATCGAAACATCAAAGGTGCGCTTAGGTTAGCATCTACTTATGATTCACTTGCCGGTGTCTCTCATAAAACCTATATCAAGCTTTACGCCAAACCTCCTAACTCTATCATCAATCCTATTGATCCTCCATACTCCATTTGCGCGACTAATTTCACAAAGGAAAAAGTAAGCCATCCTTACCTATCATTGTAATTCGACCCAAGGACTGGATGGAATTCGTCATGTATTTCTTCAGGACATTCCCTCTCCATTAATATGTTTCCATTCTTCAATCCTAACCTTACTTACCAACTTCTGCAATAAAATTTTGGCTAGTGATGTTTCAGATTTTGCGTCTCTCATTTTTGGTGCATGACTCATTGCCTATCCGTTAGGCGCCTTGTTGGCGTGATGCATCTCTCATCTTGAGTCCTTTTCAACTAGGCGTTAGAGTTGTCTATGGTTGTGAGGCCACGGTATACTTAACTCATATTCATTTAAAAAACAATCCAAGATCGACTTTGCCAATGCCTTTAATACCCTCTCTCGGAATTCTTTTTTGGATATAGCAAATATTTCCATTCTGCTATAGATATCCTACCATTTACAATTCAATTTATATAAAAAATTTTCTAAAGGCGTTCAATTGCTGCCTGCTGCGTCGAAACTCGAATATCATGGGTGCAACCCCTAAATCGTCCCCTCTTTTCATCACTGCATAATGGCTCTGGGCACTAGTTCCTCGAAACTATACCTTCTATTAATCTTCAATTACAACTTACCAAAGATGAACTCACTCAGGCAATTGGAATCCGTCTCAATTGCTCAATTACCCAAACTTACCTTTGCTCTGGATGTAATGTTCCTGTTGACTCGAACGGCCGACATAGCCTGCACTGCCGTTAATACAAAGGAGATATTCTTAGACTCAATCTTTGTAATGCCATTATTCAACGTACCCTAAAATCTGCGCAGATTCCATCGATCCTAGAATATAGTGGTCTTTTTAGATCTGATGGTACAGATAGCTTTACCCAAATTTCTTGGAAAAGAGGTTAATTTCTAGTTTGGGACTATTCCTCCATGATACCCTAGTCCCTACAAATCTTAGAACAAATATCTTGGACGTCAAAGAGCTATCCAAAATTAATAAATATACGGAAATATCCAATGAACATATTTTTATATCTATAATCTCCTTTACATTAGCCATATTTGGTTGTTTCTTGCTTTAACCTTCTTCAAGGAACTCTGTTCTCTTATTCGTAAAATCACTGATGAACCCAGGGAAATTTTTTACTTTAGGCAAAGACTATCCATTGCCATTCATAAATCGAATTACATCAGCTTCATTGGACGCCTCCCTAAGGATCTAACCTAAATTAAAATCCTTTTATTTTGATTTTATGTTCTTATATTTTAACATATGAGGGATTAAAATTAAGAAGTATATATTATATATAATTTATAAAACATAATACTATTTATAAAATAACATAATAATAATAATACCTTACTTATTTTTATTTATAAGTTTTAGATATTTCATCAAAATAAAAATATTTTTAACTAAGTTGAAAATAAAATGTTTTCCTGACTTTCAACGTCCAGAAATATTTTTAATAGCCATGCAATGCTCGAAAATATTTTTTCATGATCAATTATATGAATAACAATATCAAATAATTATTTTCACCCTTCCCTCCTTACTCATATACACCATATCATTATATGAATAACAATATCAAATAATTATTTTCACCCTTCCCTCCTTACTCATATACACCATATAAAGGTAGAACTAGGCTTATTTGTTACACATCCATCGTCATATAAATATTTGATACTGATTAAATTATTCTTGACCCTCGAAGTAATGGCTTCATCCATCGAGAGGATGGGTTTGGCTTGTTCCCTATTCAATAAGCCTTTTAATTAGTATCGATTGATACCTCTAATAACCATATATTTATATATAAGGACAAGAAAAAATAGCTTAAAATGTATGGGTCTGAGGTCAGGGTTCGTAGTCAATTTTTAGATCCAAGCCCTAGGTCTGGGTTTTACACAATCAACCATAATCAATTAACACTAATATAAGTAATCGGGCTTCATAAAATTTAAATTAACCTATTAAGTTCACGACACAAGTTACAAACTCGAGTCGAGACTTGAGTTCAAGACTCATTCAAAACTCGAGTCGCGACTTCTCAAGTTTAGAACTCGAGTCGCAACTTGAGTTCATGAGAGTCGAAGTCGCGATAACTCGATTATTTAAATACACTAGATATGATACAGTTAGAAGCTTCGTTTAAATTTCTTTATCTAGCTCAATGGTAGGCCTTTAAAATCACATATTGTTAAAAATTTTTAATGTCAAAAATCGGAAATGAATCAAATCGGTATTTATTTTAACTCTTAATTTTTTTTAATGAATATTAATAAATATGCAAATTTCAAGTGATCACAAAAATGGAAGATATGAGATTTTCATACTAGTTAATTTTATTTAATTATTTTAAAAAAGTTATTTAAAATCTGAAAAAGTTCTTGGAAGGGAGGGAGAGCGTTGGTTAATTAATTTGATGAATTGAAATTCCTATACTAATAAAAATAATTATAAAATACAAATCATGTAAAATAAATGAAATAAAAATGTGAAATAATCGCCTATGATTCAGAATTTCTGGTTTATATCTAGAAGATCATAGGCATTCATTCATCGATGAAGAGGAAATGTGGTGTTTGAAATCTAAAACTGCATGTGAGAATGCATATATGGCAAGACCTAATTATATGGTTTGTAAATATTGAAATATGTTAGTAAACAGTATAAAAATTTATATTGATCAAGAATTTTAGAAAAATCTTAAAAGTTGAGTGAATGTTATAAGTTGATGAAATAAATATTTTACCACTTATGGCAAATGAGCTAACCTCCAAAAAGAGATCAATAATTTAACTAAAATCAAATTAAGCCTGTCTGAAATATATATTTCTCACATACAGCTTTCAATTTCAAATATCTCATTTCCTCTTCATCAAACACTGAATACCTATATTCTTCTAGATATAAATCAGATAACTCTGAATAATACGCGATTATGTTGTTCTTAGTTATTTTATCTTCTATTTAATTTATTTTGCCCTTCGAGAGTGATGGGGAATCAGAATATTTTCCTTTATTCGATGATGGTCTTTATGTACCAATTAATTGTTTAGATTAAATAAAGAGTATATGGTTACCATATATTAAAAAGAAGGAAAATAAAGGAATCATCTCACATCAAAATAAAGGTACATTTCTGATTCATCCATCAAGGAGAAATATCTTAATAGGTAAGTTGTAGGAGAGATATCCGATTCAACCGTCATTTTTGACAGGTTAACTGCTAGTTAATTCATATCGAGATATGGAATCGTTATGTATAACATATTTTTAAACATTTCAACTAAAAATTGGATTTTGATGACTTACACTATGAGGTAATCCACGCGGAAATTTAGGGTACTTGACCCATGTTGATCGATCAGATACCTCGTCCTCCTTGACTGCCCCAGTATCTTTCAAGGTCCTCAATCTTTTGGCTTCTTCACGTTCCGCGTGTGTATAAAGACACATTTGTGTATGACCTTTATTGAAAAAAATTTCACTATATATGAGATTTCTGCCCAATATTTTTTTCAAAAAGGGTAATTGATTAATTATTATTTTTACCTAGTGCATCATGCCAAACATTGTTAAACACTGCTGGTCTTATAGCACATTCGAAAATGGCAAGAGCAAAGGCGAAATCTTTAACTTGTGTGCACATCTGAATGGCTTTGACCCATTTATCTCTATAATTTTTTTAAAATTGTTATTGAATTTGTAAAATGATTTAAAAGCTATACAATATAGAAAAGTATCAATAAAGGTTTGGGTATTGGTTGTGGTATTGGCTAAAAAGATGTTATCAGTGCATCTCCGGCAAAACAGAAAAATTTACTCAATATTTCCATATTCAATATTAAGCCCATTAAAACGATCGAATATTCGATAAATTATTTTAATAGTTAGTTTTAATAATCAATATGCTTTTTAAATAAAATCTAACTGACTTTCCTATTGATAATCTATCAATCTGACAAGTAGATGTTGTTTATAAAAGCCTTTTTAATTGGAAATAATTTACTGTCAAAAAATCTAAAAAGAATCTAATAATGCACTATTCGAATAATTTTGGTCTTTAATAAGCTACACAATATCTAATTTTTTAGCATCACTATTTATATTTTTAAAAAACTTTAGTAAAAGCTAAAATTTTGGATTCGATGACTTCTAATGACGTCTTCATAGTATGGAAAATTTTATCCAAACTAAATAAAAATTCGGGCTGAAAAGTTATCGATTTAATATGGAATTACTCTCATTTTATATAACTAGGATTTGTTTATCGATATAATATATATATATCAACGACAGTTTGTCACAATATAAGATATATTTTAAAATGTTTAATAAGCTATTATTGACAAAAGGAAGTATAGTTGTATAAAAAAATTGAGACAAATTGATTAATAAAGGAACTCTAGTAATATTAACTATACGATTGTTGATCAATAAAGAGATATTCCATTCTTTAGGAGTTTCGCCACTATCCCAGATTTTGTTTAAGAGGGGTAATAGATAGGAGGATATAGTGTTTGATGCACTTTTTAGATGTTCGGCAGTTATTCCGTCAAGCCCAGGAGCTTTATTATTACGTAGTTTAGTGATAGCTTTCTTTATTTCATCGGTGGAGGAGGCGGGATTGAGCGTACGCTTGTGCTTGTTTGGCAGAAGGCTTTTCTTGAGTCAAAGACCCTCATATAGTAATCTACCCATAAAACTAATTGTTCATCTTGATCTACAATTTATTTCCATTTTTTTAGAACTAGAGATGGGAGTTTTTTAAAACTGTAGGGTTTACAAAAATAGTTCAGTTTGTTATATGCATCATATATTCTATAGTCCTTCATATCTTTATCTATTTCAAAAGCTTTCTTAGCAATGTATGTCCTTCTATCACTCCTCAAAAAATCTCTTTTAGTTTTAAGTGTTAACTGATATGGAGAACATAGTATACGGTAAATTACTTATTGGGTCCCTAAATATTAATGGCTTGAATAATAAATTAGTAGTGCTACTAAGAGATTTTGCGCCCATGAAATTAGACATCATTGGCATTCAGGGGACTCATAGTCCAGGAAATACTACGGCTGACTTTAATGAATATAAGTTGTTTTGATCTGGTATCACCCTTAATAGCTAGTCAGGAATAGCTTTCCTAGCAAGCAGACGAATACAAAAATCAATAATTAAATTTGTACCTATATCAGAAAGATGTGGTCTCCTGTATCTGAATACAAAATTCAGACCCACAATTTTAGTAAATTTATATGCCCCACCAAAGAGGAAAGAGAGACTCGACTACATAAATGAAATAATTACTCTAATAAATTCTCTGCCTTTGAGGTATAATATTATAATCTTAGGAGACCTCAACTTGAGAATTGGCAAAAACGAGGAATATGATAATAATATTATTGGAAGTGCCAGCATGCAGCAAATCAATAAGGAGGATAGCATCAACTTGATTTTTGCAGAACCAAAAATCTGAAAATAGAGAACACCTTTTTCAACCATATGAACACGTTTACTTTCGTGAGAGCAAATCAAAAATCTCAAATAGATTTTTTCTTATCAAATGTCCATGAATAGTTCGAGGATGTTGAAGTGTCCACGAACATCAAATTATCAGATCCTATATTGGTAGCAAAGATGTTTGTAAAAAATATATGGAAATATCATCACAAAAATAGCCCAAATACACCAGGCTACAGAGTAAACTCTCTTAAACTCATACTTCCAAGAAAACAAATAAAGGCACAATCACACGAAAATCTACAAATACTAGACCAAACGTTAACCAGGAAAAGAGACATTTTTTTAAATACGACCGAAAATAGAAATGTAAATGCTGTTTGGAATCTTTTTAAAAGAAACATCATAGAGTCATACAATACACTAGCAAATGTGAATATCTTTCTAAGGAAGGAATGGCTAACAAACGAGGCAGTAATCAAAATAAATCAACTTAGAGAAGGAAATATTTTATACAAAGACTTATGGAAGGACATACAAAAACATTTGAGGAGTGATAGAAGGACATACATTGCTAAGAAAGCTTTTGAAATAGATAAAGATATGAAGGACAATAGAATATATGATGCATATAACAAACTGAACTATTTTTGTAAACCCTACAGTTTAAAAAAACTCCCATCTCTAGTTCTAAAAAAATGGAAATAAATTGTAGATCAAGATGAACAATTAGTTTTATGGGTAGATTACTATATGAGGGTCTTTGACTCAAGAAAAGCCTTCTGCCAAACAAGCACAAGCGTACGCTCAATCCCGCCTCCTCCACCGATGAAATAAAGAAAGCTATCACTAAACTACGTAATAATAAAGCTCCTGGGCTTGACGGAATAACTGCCGAACATCTAAAAAGTGCATCAAACACTATATCCTCCTATCTATTACCCCTCTTACACAAAATCTGGGATAGTGGCGAAACTCCTAAAGAATGGAATATCTCTTTATTATGTAATTTCCCCAAGATTAAAGACCCAAAAAGCTTCAAAGATTATCGGGCTATTGCCCTAACATCTACTGTATCTAAAATATTCATGGTTCTGATAAAGAACAGAATTATGTCGTCTCGGCCAACCTTACTTCCGAAATATATTTGTGCCTACAGGCCAAAGAAAAATATGCTAGAACCAATTTTAGCACTAAAAATAATAATACAAAAATGTTGGAAATACAAAATTCCCGCCTACTTCACCTTCGTTGATTTCAGCAGAGAGTTTGACAATGTAAATCATGATGCTCTTTGGAAGACTTTGTCGGAATGCGAGATTGAATCAAACATAATCCACATAATAAAAAACCATTATACGAATCTCACCGGCTGTATAAAAATTAACAATAAGATATCCCCCCCCCCTTTTAAGATAAAGAAAGGCGTAAAATAAGGATGTGTACTTTCACCTTTACTGTTCAATATTATAATGCATAAAATTATTAAAGAAGTTTGCTGCATGTTTAATGGATCTAAGCTCCAATTCAAAGTTACATCTAGAGAACAGAATAATATCATACACAGATGACATCGCTCTAGTGTCCTTAAGTATTAAAGAAATGGAAAATATATTACACCCATTGGTAAACTTAAGTCTAAAAATGGGCTTAAAAATCTATTTTAATAAAACAGTTATTCTTCCTTCCCCGAGTGCTGCCCAGAATCCAAGTATCATAATTGATGGCAATATCATTAAGGTAGTAGAAAAAATAAAATACCTAGGCGTACTTTTGGATAACAAGGGCTGTTGTAAAGAAGAGATGAAAACCAGAATACATAAGGCAAAAGGGGCTTTTTACAAGTATATGAAGTTATGGAAGACGAAGGAGATCTCTGTTCACACCAGACTTAGAATCTTCAATTCTACAATCATCCCCATATTACTTTTTGGAGGGGACTTATGGGAATTTTACAAAACAGAAAATAGGAGACTCCAATCCTTCATAAATAACTGCCTTAGAACCATAAATGGAATTTTTTATCCGAAGGTTATATCAAACAACAATTTATGGAGAGCATCTAAGCATACTCCGATACACATCACCCTGAAGAAACACCGTATTCAATTTCTGGCCCATATCATAAGAAACTCAGATCAAAATCTTGTCCATGATGCTATTACTTGGCTTTACACCTATAATAAAAAAGAATATACAAAATACAAATCCCTCTGGTACTATAAGACCATAAAAGATATAATGGTTAAATTTAAATATGAAACAATTCATTAAATTAAATAACTGCAAAAAGTCCATTAAAAAACTCTTCAGGATAAAGGAAAGATATTTCAAATGAAAAAATTACCAGTGTTTTATATTTTTAATACCAAAATCAAATATGGGACGTTTCTAAATTAGGACTAATAGCAAACTGGATTGGTATGTACTTTATTTCATCCTAATTTCTATAAAAATCTTAAACTAGAAATCAGCCACAACCCACCCTTAAAGTAATTAACTTAAACTGCAGTTCTTGGGCATAGGCTCTTTTTTTGTCCCGCTCCTTTTTGATTTTAAGCCTATGGACGTCTGCGACTTCTTCGGAATGTTGAGCGTACAAGTACGTGCGGCTTGCCCACAAAAGTGTGGAGGGCTCCTCATATTTTATTTTTAATTAATACCCAAATTAACTTTGTTCCAATTAGATGGAAATGAGGAAAACCTAGCGTAGCTCTGTTGATACTCAACGTTAGAGGGCATATGCGCTATATATCACGTATCACGTAAGTAGGCATATACAAAGACAAATTGAACATTTGATTTGTTTCGAACAATTTGAATTGAATCAAATCGATACAATACCAAAAATAAGTTATTCGATTTGTTCGAATATGAATAAATCTAAGGCAGAATTTTATTTATTCATTTTCACAATATCCTTCCTTAAAACAAAATTTTAAAATATTGTAATATTTTCTAGCTTAAAATGAATAATTGTAAATTGTAAAAGTCTCAGAATCAATAAATAAAAATATTATAATTATTAATATTTTTCAAAAACAATAATAGTTTTGCGATAAATTATTTGCTAAAGCTGAGTCCAAAATATCAAGTGCAAATTTTCGAAACTTTAAATAAATAAGCAATTCAAATATAAAAATAAAAACATGTCCTAAACATAATTCTAGAAAATTTTTATAAATTTTAAAAATTTAATATACGATTTCATTAAAATCTTAAAATATGCAAAAGTTTTGAAACTTGATTTTTTTAGAATGGGTTTGTACACCGCATAAAGAATCTAGAGAATCCTATATCTTAGGAATTAAAATTTTATATACAGATTATTATTTTCTCGATTTAAAAAATAACTCTATTAAAACTTCAGTACTATAGTGACGAAAATAGCGTAAACATTCTTGTGGGGTCAGACCAATGACGTATATGTACTAAAATTGGTGATTCATTAATTAAAAGTGTACATACAATGGAGTCAACTGAAGTGCCATTTTATGGTTTGCTCGTCAACTAATTGTCTATATCGATTATTATATTAATGCACATTATGACATTTAATCGACGTGCAAACTATAAAATTCCGCTACAACTGACTCCAATGTGTATATATTTAAATGTGTTAAATGCATGAATCGCTAATTTAGTAATATATTGACATCATTATTTTATTTTGTAATATTATATATAAAACCTTTAGGCTTAATAAAACATTATTTTTAATTTATTATGTATAGATATAAAATTTTGAGGATAATGATAGCCTTATGTCATTCTAAAAAAAGAATAAATTTTTTTAATCCTAAATATTAAGTACAAAAAAATGCATTCGATATCAAAACCAAGACTCCCTATATTAATTAACCAAGGTTAGAAAAAAAAGACAGAAGTTAAAACTTGCATCTATCACAAACTGCTTATATTTTAAAAACTATTGAATCAAAAATGAATGAAATTTTTGACACATATTCTAAAGATAAATTCAATTAAAGTAGGGCTGTGCTGATCCACAAATTTTTCACCAATCTGATATTTTTCAATATTACTAAAAAACTCGATCCGATTCCAATCCGATACTTCTATTGATTTTAATATTTTTGAACCAATGTCATAAAAATATCAATATTTTCTAATATTTTATACTCCAAAAGTTAATGATCTCATTTAAAATATTTTCAATAGGTGAATGTGTGGCGTTGTTAAACAGCTCCATTTAGCCGATTTATAAAAAGGGCTAAATCAAGATTTTGGCCAAAATAATATTACCTAAGTCTCGAAATTTCGCCAATAAAAGTCCAAACCTTTCTGCTATATGCTGGCAAAATAAATAAGCTTGAGTAATTTACTTTTGGCTACCATCTTGAGTTAACCATTTAAAATTGGGTAAATCGAGCCCAATAGCGGGTCATTCCATATCTAATGAGCAAAAAGATGAAATTTCAGGCAGCCTTTCAATATTTTTAAAATTTGGTAAGCAAATAAGGTTATGTAATTAGAAATAGCCAAAACTTTTGCCTCGTAACATTTATTTTTGCAGATATTAGGGTTCAATATGGCAAAAATGACGTATTTTTTACCATTATGTGCCTTCATTCAATTGTATATCTTAAGAACTATATAATTGTAAATAACAAATTTAATATCAAAATTACGTACAAAGATTTTTGGATAAATTTTTTGATTTTTCCAATTTCCGGCCATTTTATTTAATATACAAGAATTAAAAACTCTTTTTGGAATTAATACGACCTTTTTTTAAAAATTTTTAGAAGACATTACTAAACTCTTAATTTATATTTATAAAAAAATTAATCTGAGGCGCGGCCAGCTTCATTCTCAAAATCGATAAAAATGATTAGAAAAGTGTATAAATATTTTCTCGAAAAAGCGTCTTTGTATAAAATTATATATAAGGCTAACCACCAATTAGAATCATAAACACATGCTATGTATCCTAATATTTCTCCCAAGATTATACTTATGATAAATAATATATAGTGTTTTCTATTGAGTTCGAATACATTTTACTTCTAAATTGACGTAGACCTGTCGGAATATTTCAGGAATCGGTAGTTTTCGAAAATCTTTCTCTGAGTAATATAAGTAATAGTTCCTCGTCATATTTTTTGATATATTCAAAATATATGCCATTAATATTATTTTTTAGCGAATTCGTACAATTCATATGTTGTTGTTATTTGTTCTGAGTAAGGTTTTTGCAAACTTTCTCTATCGGCTAATCTTTTAACAGTGCACCAATTTCATAACAAGCACTTTTCCCATGTGCTGTAGCAGAAAAATGCCATTTCGCTTGTACACCAAAATCCATCTCACGATGGCAAATATTAATAAAAAACGATTTTTATAATGTGCAATTCATCAGAATAATAAAAATTTTTATTTGACATATAAAATTTATTAATTAAAAAATTTACCAATATTTTTTGTAAATAATGTACTGCTATTATATTATGTTGAAAAGATTCGAAAATTATCTTTATAATAAATAACAAAAGGGTGAACAATGGATTGAGCTCTATTCCAACGATAACTTTATACTTCACTGAAAATTACTTAAAATTAAATATTGGCCGTCGTCTAAGTTCAATTTTAGCTGGTTTAGATACAATTGTTGAGTTGAAATAGAATGGGGTAATAAAGATTCTATTTTTTCAAAAATCCGATCCAATATTTTTATTGTTTTGGGTTATTTTATTATAATATTTTTATTTTATACATAATATCATAATAATAATAAATTAATATTTGTAATGTTTTAAAAATATCAAATTATTTTAAAAATTAGAGCAGCGAAAAATTTGATATTATTTTTGGTGCCATATATGAAATACTTAAGAATTTATATATTGAAGAACTCTAAACTTGGTTGAACATATTTTATTAATATTCATTAAATATGTGTTATATGTGTAAATGATTTTATAATATGCATTTCTTTTATCGATGACAATTTCTATAATTGATTGAAACTCTCATTCTTACAGGATGAATAATCCTTTAAAATAGTTCAAGAAAAACCATTAAAAATTATGAATATATAATTTTAAATCTTTCGGAAAAATATTAATATACTTTTCTAATCATTTTAATTGATTTTGAGAATGCCGCGTCCCAGACCAATTTTTTTTATAAATATAAAGGAAGAGTTAAGTAATGTCTACTAAATTTTTTATAAAAATTGAAGGTCGTATTATTTCCAAAAAATCGTTATTAGTTTTTTTATATTAAATAAAATGGCCGGAAATTGGAAAAATCTAAAAAAAATATTTTTTTTATTTGTATAATCTTTGTATAATCTTTGTATGTAATTTTGAGATTAAATTTGTCATTTACAATTATGTTGTTTTTATGATATGCTTAATTGAATGAAGTCAAGATAATGGCAAAAATACTAGTGATCTGCATCGGGCCTAATTTTTCAAGCCCAGCCCGTCCCGAATTTATTTAAATATAGAAATTAATTTTTATAATTACTCAAAATAAAAGACATATGTTATATGGCCTAATCAAAAATTTTTATTTTACATAAAAAATTGAATATAAAATTGATAAATTTAGATATGTTTAAAAAAAATTCAAGGTCTGACCTGACCCGGCCCGATTTTTTTTAAAAAATTCTATTTTAGTTCCTCTCATTGATGCATGAAATAATTTATAAAATAGTAAAAAATTATACAATAACCAAAAACAATAAAAAATATCGGATCGGTTAAGTTTTAAAAAAAATATCAGTATGATCCGATATTTTTTTAAAAGGCTAAATATCGGTGCTGATCCATATAATATCGGAACAGCCCTAAATTAAAGCTACTGAAAATTTGAGATCATGATAAATTATGCTATGGCCTATATAAAATGGTAGATATTTAGAGTTTAAAAAATGTTTTTGGCTATTTTATGATCGTATATAATAATTATAATCATACTTTTTTATACATAATTTCATAATAATAAATTCTTAAAAGGAACCAAAATTCAATTTATTTGTAATGTTTATAAAAAGTCAGATTATTTAAAATTAATTTAAAAATAAAGCAGCTTATTATCGGCAATGAGAAAAGGATTAATAATATCCAACGTGACACATTCAGATAGTGTTATTAAACGGCTAGATTTAAGCCGATTTAAAGGATTACTCATGATTTTAGTCAAAAGTAAATTTTGCCTACAGAAAACAGAAAGGTCTAGACATCTGTTGGCGAAATTATTAGGATGAGGTAAATATTTTGGCTAGAGGCGTTAAGAACACTATATTTTGATGAAGATGGAGCGTTCTTTTGAATAGAATATATTGATTTTTTTATAAAAGTTCAAATATGATGTTTTATAACAATATGTAAAAATATCGGATCGGTTTTATAGTAGTATAGAAAAAGATGGTATGGTAATCGGTATTGAGTCTGTTTTATAGCAATTTTGAAAATTAGGTGATAAATTTGTGGATCGACATAGCCCTATAAATTATCATTTCCAAGTAATACTAATTTTTGCACGCTCAGGGTATATAAACCCCTACAAGGGTATTGAATGGTTAATTGTTATATGATTTAATTAAAAATTTATTAAAAATGAATTATTCAAATAATCGAATTATGATTAAAAATGGTGTTAATAATGTTCACTTTGAGCTCAAATTAGGGTTTAGAAATTTAAAATTGTTTGATTGGACATTTTGAGACCATAGGTTAAACATGGAAACGATCCCGGGGTAATAATAGACAGATGTCCAAACCTTTGTTCCTTCTGCAAACAAAATATTCAGGCTTGCGTAATTATATTCTGGATGAAATATTGAGTTAGCCGTTTTTAAAAATCGGCTCAAAACGAGCCGTTTAACAACACTAGGGGCGAGTTCAGTAGGTTTTTGATTAAGTTCCTGTTAACAAAATTTCTGCTAAATAAAGTTTAAAATTCCTGAGAATCAATTTATTTATTTTTAATTTAACTTTTTTAAATTAAAAATGTTTTTATATTTTTCAATTAAAAATTTCAAAATATATAGTTTGGCTAAGCTAGATTTGAACCTAAAAATTTGAGCCATCCTCAAAATTGGGAAAGTTATGACTGAAAAAAATTATCTAGCTTTACTATAAGATATAAAAATAAGAGAATACAATTTATAGTGCCAACAAACTTATAAATTTTCCAGCTTCCATGCATAAATGCGGGTGATATTTTATTCTCAACATGTATCATGGTATTTCTTAGGACAATAATCAATTGTGAGGGTGTGGTGTATTGCAATCCTTGCCATTTAAATTCCTGGGCACTTGAAGCTTGTAACGCAGTAAATTTATTGGACAGATAGCGCTTTTTATCCCTCTCTTCAGCTAACTGGTACTTATTTAAAGCCAAATGACTTGATGTATACTGATTAATATAAGTTTTATAACCATTCTCTTCTCCTTCAATATAATATATATCATTTTTTGTATAATAATAATATACCTAAGCAAAATAATTGCTCTGGGTTAGGGTTGTAGTGCTTTATTATGTACTGGGAAATATTTATATAATTTTCAATATCTTTCATATCATCTTTGGGTGACTCAACTGAGGCTAAACCAGATGCTAAATTGGCTAGTCTGAGTAAATTGGATGCAGAAGATTCTTCAGCAGAGTCTGTGGTAGTTAAATCCTTCTTTGCATCATTATTCTCATCAATCTTATCAAACAAAAAAAGTAATTATTATTTTTCAAGAATAAAATATAAATTAACTTCATTTTCTTTGTTTTTCTGTAAGTTTACAAGTATATTGTTGCTATATTCTGAAAAAAAAGTAACATATATTTAATTAGGAAGCAAAAAAATACCTTCTTCTATTTCAATAAAAGAACTCCGATTTCCTTTTACTAAATTAGTTATCCTTTGAGTGATATCAAAGCCTTCCTCAATCTCAGTCATAATATTGTTTAAATTAGTAACCAATAATTTTTCATATTTTTTTGCATCCAGCAACTCTAATAGTAGCTTAAATTTCCCTTTGGTACTATAGTACCATATTTGGTCATCTCCTTCACTACATGTATAAATTTAATTTTAAAAAATAGGTTGATTAAAGTATAGGCTTGTTTTTACATTATAATCCTCCGGCATAAATACCAATATTTTCTGTTTTGACGATCATATCCTATTGGTTCCTGTCTTATAAGAGTCCCATTCTTTTCTAGATTGGAAATACAATCAGTGACTCCAGCAACTTGATTAGCTTTACAGATATTGCATATCCAGTCTTCATCAGGTATTTGAGAGAGTGGTGGGTTAGTACAATGGAGATGATAAACAGCAGAACATGCTTCACAACATATTAATTGTCCTAGACAAATAATGATTATTTATACATATTAATTTAACATTTACCTAATTTGTGGCATGCTCTACAAGCCTCGTCATGTTTTATAAAACCTTCATTATTTATTTCCAACCTGATAATGTTGGTTGATAATACAAGATCACATAATTGACTCAATGCATTTAATTTATCTTTTATAGAATATGTAAAATTTGAGTTGATAGTTTTATAATAATTATTTGTTTCAGAACTAAATTTTGAATTATTCATTTGACTTTTGTTCATCACACATGATATGTATGACTTAATAAGTTCAGGCCATGTCACTGAATCTAATGAATAAAGCATAATATTGATACTATCTTTCATATCTTGAGGTCCATACCATGTATTCTTAATTTCATCTTCTCGAAGCAAGGTTTTCAACAAGGATACAAATACTTCAGATATTAGATGATTATTACTTTCCTCTGAACACAGTGCAGCACAAAATGTCTCAAAACGAAAGGGAGAAAGTTTTAAAACTGATCTAAATCGCCTTAATACTTCATAGACACTTATGACCTGCATTAAAAGTTTACCTTCTGTCAAATTTAATACTTTAGTGGCATCATAAAAAGCTTCATTTCCTAGCAAATATGGAGTGATTATGAGATCTCTAGATGTTTCAGGTAAGTTAAATCTTTTTTCCAACTGTTTAGCAGCCTTTTCAGTGTATTGCTCATCATCCTTTTCATCATTTATATCAGATGGTTCAATCAAATCTTTAAGTTTTGTGGGTTTTATGTCATCAATAGATTCCTCAAAATCGTAAATACATTCATTGTCCTCTGATAAATATTCCTCTTCCAGAGAAAAATAACCTTTACCTATCTCATTTATCGAGTCTGTAGTAGCCTCTTGACTTTCGTGAAATTTCTTAAAGGACGCTGTATCATCTATCCCTATATCGTCCGCTTCGTCCACAGAGGATGAAGATGCAGTTGAGAACTCGTCGTGAGATTCAACAACAGATGAGATTGGCGAAGCAGATGGCATATACCCTTCAAAATGAACTGAATCCGTTTTATTGTCTAAAAATGTTTCATGGTTAAATAATTCATAGCCGGACTCGCTTTCATCTTTAGTCTCAGGCATATTAGGAATATCCTTATCATTTCCATCTGGAATATCGGAATTAAACGCAGAGTTTTTTAATTCGTTTGGTGCACTCAAATAAAATTCTGAATAGTCGTTTGCTTGAATGTGATTGGTGTCATATAGATTAGCGTTGGATGAGTTTGATACTTGAAAATTTTCATCAGTAATTTTTTTGATGTCATCAGTATTTAAATATTTCGTTGAAGGAATTTTTATGCGATGAGAACGTCTATTTGAATCCATATGTATATTTATTTACAAGAAACATAAATTTTAAAGTTAAGCTTTAAGTGTTCAGTAGCCATATTTATATTTATCACGTGATACTTTTAAGATTACATATTTTTTCTTATTTAGATTAAAAAAACGTTAAATAATTCCTTTATAAAGGGTTATTATAAATTTATACTAAAGAAATTTATTATTATATATAATCATTTAATATTAGCTTACATCCATTTAAAATAATACTTTATGTAAATATATTAGTAAAATAATTTAATAAAATAAAATAACATAGATAAATTATACATTAATATAAATTTAGCGCTAACATTATAATAATATGCAACAAAATGGCCAAAGTCTATACTATGCATAGGATGTTCAATTACGGCGTTTCGGATATTGAAAAAATAAAGCTGAGATAATTGTATTTTACTATGTTTATGGCTAATCGTTGGCGTAGGTAGAATCTCTTGTTGGGATCCTCGGTCCTAGCAGAGATCCGTTTTCCTAGCTCTTTAAAAAGGTCTAGGGCATGAGAGCCGAACGACGTTAAGGCAGTGGCGATTAATGGTAGGAATCCATAATTGGCGGGAAGAGATGGCGAATATTTAGCTAATTTATTCGCCTCGGCATATAGTATGGCATCTCTATTTATATTGGAAGGGGCAAGAGGATCGATGCATGAGAAATCCCAAGTTAGGAATTCCCCCCTCTTCCAAGGGATCATAGTCGAACCATCGGGCCGCTTACCATCTGAATTGTCAAGGCCAGTAGGTTCGAGGGTTGATGGGATGCCGGCGGATTTTGAGGCGAAAATTTGATGGAGGCAAACCCCTCCAAAATCTATCCATACCCACCTAAAAAAAATCCTGCGGCTTTCGGCCGCGAAATTTACAGACCTACGATGGTATAGTGATTTTATTTAAATAATCTTATCTGCCACCATTTATAACCTTACAACATAATTCTATTTACAATCTTTCAAGCCTATTTAGGGAAAAAAAATTTAAAAATTTGTAGGTGATAATGAACTTTTATTTAAATAATGCAATCTTTTCATAATTTGGTATTCACTTTATTTTCATAAAATATATATAAGTGAATTAAATGAGATAACATATTAATATTTCTATAAAAAAGATCTAAAATATTGTAAAAAATATAAGACGAATAAATTTAAAGAGGTATATTTAGCTTGATTCCACATAATTAAAAACATGAATTGTAAATAGAGCTATTATATAAAATATTAGAATAAAATGAATTATAGTATATTTTTCCTTGGAAATTTAAAATGTTAAATTAAATATACATTATTTAAAAGCCTATATATTCGCTGTGAAAAAGATACATTATTTATTTTATTAATAATTTGGATAAACTTATAGATGTTAATGCAAATTGTGTTATAATATCATCAATTGTAAATTTTTCAAAAACATCAATTTCGCTGGATATTAACAGTAAATTTTCCAAAAATGGGTCCGAAATTTTATTCCGCATTCGAATTTTGTTAATTTTTACTTTACTCATGGCTCTTTCGGCTGAACAGGAAGTTGTAGAAAGGGTTAATAAATATTTATATAATAAATTTAAATTAGAATAAGAATTTAATTGATTTAAAAGTCGGTATGGTAATATAAAAGAAAATTTTATCCATTTTATTTATTTTGGTCATGATTTCGCTGTTGATAATTTCTTTGGTAATTTGATCGTTTGCAATACCTTTAATTATATAAAATTACAAATAAAATATCAATAAATTACTGTCATCAATATATAACGCGTCATTCTTTTTAACTTTTAAAAGATCTTCGCAAAAAGTGATTGATTGAGACTCCAAATATAAAGAGCGAAAATTATTATATTCATCAACAATGTTTTGGACATCCAATTGATAAGTATTACAAATTTCGGATATTTGCCATCCTTCTATTTTTTCATTATCCATAATTCCAGCGGGAGCAATGATATATATAACTATAGATTGGCGATCATGCATAAAAAAACGTCCACCTATTGAAATCAGCTGTAGCGCCATTTTGTAGCTTGTACGTTGATCAAATGCCTCAATAATAATACTAATTTTTAAAAATTCAATTTTATATCTAATAATTTGTTAATAATGTAATTATGTAAAATAATCAAATGAATCCTAACCTCAACTGATCTTCAATTAAATTACATTGGTATTCTATAAAATAAAAAAACTCAACATTTAATCCAATAGTAGTATATAATATCATTAAATTACTTTCACCCAGAAATTATTCAGAAACATAGATTGCTACGATATCACTGAAACAAAAATCACCAAAATTATACCCATACAAAATATTCCATACTTATATCTAATACACCCTCAAATATTCAACCAAATAAAGTCCACTGCCTATATTTAATTGCCAAAAAAACTTATCACATGACTCAATCAAGAAAATACTTCTTTCAATCAGTTTTTAGTTAATTTATCTACTTGATTAATATTATTATAAAAATAAATTTATTTTTAAACATTCCTCAACCATTAACCCCCAATTATTTATTAGAAAATCTAATTTATTTTATACATATTAATTGCATATATCAAAATCATTTATTTTTTTATATATATTTGTTAATTTTTCTTATAAAATTAGTTTTTATAATTTTATCAAATTCACTTGATGTTTCAAAAAAAATCTTACTATCCACTTATTGTTCATTTATGGAATCCTTATTATTAAATATAATAATATTTTATGATTCATATCTTATTAATAAATAAAAATGATGCATCGTTATTTATTGTAGTTGCTGGTACTTTTAATTTTAGTTAAGTAATTTATACCTTAAAATAATAATCAAAATTTATATAAAAAAGAGATCTGTATAGATATAATTAAATAAAATCTACAAATTTTGTTTTACTAATAAGAGAAATCAGTGTTAATTTTTTTCTTACTTTTTTAACTTATTTTTATTTTGTATTATTAATTTTATTATAAAGGATGAACCAAAGATATACTCTAAAAGTAGATGAAGATCAATTAATTACGTTAAGAAAATAAGATTTTATAAAAAAATATCCTGTCAATTAAAAATTATTTTGGATTATGTGTTCTAGATGAAATAAGTTAAACCATCTTAAAAGATGGGTTGAGAGCTCATCTCACTTAATTTTTATTGTAATAATCATTTATAATTTTTTTTGTTTTAATTATTTGGGAATGACTAAAATACGCGTCCCCGAAAACTACGCGTCCCTACGCGTCCCTACGCGTCCCCGGTCAAAACGATTTATTTTTATTAATATTAATGGGAAATCTTATTAAGCTTTATAAGATGAGTTAGAAAATGTTTTTTTTAATTTAAAAAAAATACGGTAACTATATAAAATTTACAAAAATTTATTTTTTAAAAAAATAAACTACGCGTCCCTACGCGTCCCCGGTCAAAATACAGTTTTTTTAAAAAAATCAAAACGGATTCATATTTAGCTCATTAAAAGAATACAGAATATGTAAATATTATATTTTAAACTATTTTATAACTTAGTGATTTTTTCAAAAAACACTTTTTTTTTCAAAAACACTACGCGTCCCCGGTCAAAAAACCGTTTTTTTTAAAAAATAATAGCAGATTCATGTTTAACTTTTTAAGGAGATTCAGAAAATGGTATTAATAAAAAAAAAATTTTAAAAATATTTTTTCCAAAAAAATTTTTTTTTGGCTAAACTACGCATCCTTACGCGTCCCCGGCCAAAATACAGTTTTTTTTTAAAAATCAAAACGGATTCATATTTAGCTCATTGAAAGAATACAGAATATGTAAATATTATATTTTAAACTATTTTATAACTTAGTGATTTTTTCAAAAAACACTTTTTTCGAAAACACTACGCGTCCCCGGTCAAAAAACCGTTTTTTTTAAAAAATAAAAGCAGATTCATGTTTAGCTTTTTAAGGAGATTCAGAAAATGGTATTAATAAAAAAAATTTAAAAAAAAAATTTTTTTCGAAAAATTTTTTTTGGCTAAACTACGCGTCCCTACGCGTCCCCGGTCAAAATACAGTTTTTTTAAAAAAATCAAAACGGATTCATATTTAGCTCATTAAAAGAATACAGAATATTTTAATATTATATATTAAACTATTTTATAACTTAGTGATTTTTTCAAAAAACACTTTTTTTTTCAAAAACACTACGCGTCCCCGGTCAAAAAACCGTTTTTTTAAAAAAATAATAGCAGATTCATGTTTAACTTTTTAAGGAGATTCAGAAAATGGTATTAATAAAAAAAAATTTTAAAAAAATTTTTTCCAAAAAAATTTTTTTTTGGCTAAACTACGCGTCCCTACGCGTCCCCGGTCAAAATACAGTTTTTTTTTAAAAATCAAAACGGATTCATATTTAGCTCATTGAAAGAATACAGAATATGTAAATATTATATTTTAAACTATTTTATAACTTAGTGATTTTTTCAAAAAACACTTTTTTCGAAAACACTACGCGTCCCCGGTCAAAAAACCGTTTTTTTTAAAAAATAAAAGCAGATTCATGTTTAGCTTTTTAAGGAGATTCAGAAAATGGTATTAATAAAAAAAATTTAAAAAAAAAATTTTTTTCGAAAAATTTTTTTTTGGCTAAACTACGCGTCCCTACGCGTCCCCGGTCAAAATACAGTTTTTTTAAAAAAATCAAAACGGATTCATATTTAGCTCATTAAAAGAATACAGAATATTTTAATATTATATATTAAACTATTTTATAACTTAGTGATTTTTTCAAAAAACACTTTTTTTTTCAAAAACACTACGCGTCCCCGGTCAAAAAACCGTTTTTTTAAAAAAATAATAGCAGATTCATGTTTAACTTTTTAAGGAGATTCAGAAAATGGTATTAATAAAAAAAAATTTTAAAAAAAATTTTTTCCAAAAAAATTTTTTTTTGGCTAAACTACGCGTCCCTACGCGTCCCCGGTCAAAATACAGTTTTTTTAAAAAATCAAAACGGATTCATATTTAGCTCATTAAAAGAATACAGAATA